ACAGTTGCCATTTCTAGAAGCATATTCCATATGATTATGGAAGGTGATGGTGAAGTGGTAGTTTGGCAGCATCGTTAGTGAATGGTGGAAAATTCTCATGGTGGACCCTTAATAAAAGCAGATTGGGCACTCCCTATTACTTTATGCAGCACACTTGATAGACAATGAGATAAATGCTTTGATACATCTTTGTATAGCACACTACAACAAGAAATAGGCAAAAAAATTGCTCATTCTATTAGCATTACGAGTCTTAGGTATGAGAGAGAGAGAGAGAGAGAGAGAGAGAGAGAGAGAAATGTAGAGTTAACCTGTCATGGCATTATTCTAGTTTGAAAGAATTCAAGGACTGCATTCTCCACTTGTGTACCGATAATCTCCCAGTCATCTTGGAAAAACTCGGCTGGAAAGTCATATGGTCCTGAAGCCTTATCTTTCTCCAATGCTTAAACACTGAGCATACTTCTTCTCAAGTGATTGGATTAAGGAGCTTTAATTGATCCTCTTCCTCCAATTAACGTGGCTATAGTTTCTGAAAATAGCCAAGAGGGAATTCCTGAACAACTAAATTAGGTTGCCCTAGTAGTTCCTTGTAGAGCTCAACTGTCGGATCATTAATTTAATGGATATCTATAACCTAAGTACCATCATATACAATCAATTGACTTATATGTTGCCTATGCGTTCGATTTTTAATAGAATTCTGGAAGTACTTGGTGTTAGCATCACATTCTGAGACTCATTGCACCCTTGAGTTCTATCGATAATAACTCTCCCCATCAGCCTGTATTTGTTTACAAATATCCACTAATTCCAGTTCTTTTTGTATAACTTCTTCATCAGGGTTAGCCACACCAACTTTTGAGCCTCTACCAACCGTTGTTCAACTAACCTTGTACACTTTGAGATATCAACATAGACATTCTTCTTCAGCTTCATAAGCTTAACCTTCAATTCCTTCAACTGCCCATAAAATCTTAAAAGGGTACTCATAATCTTCTTCTTCCATGCATCAGATAGTATCTGAAAGTATTGAGGTGAGTACGCCCAATATTGAAAAACTTAAAGGATTTGGGCAAGGAACCAAATTCTGGGGACATATCCATCAATAACCATAGTGGTCTGATACTCCTGGTGCTAGAGTATAAGCCTCACTATGAGATAGCTTTGTTAACCAATTATGATTGACCAGAAAGCGATCTACTCTTCAAGCTATTGGGTTAGCACTTTGTTTGTTCCACCATGTGCACCACTCTCCCTACACCTTGTGATCACACAATCCCATACCATTGATCCACTTACGAAAATACAGCATCTTAATTTGAAGCTTCTAATTCAGACATTATAGCATTGAAATCTGCCATGAAAATAGAAGGCTCTCTCAATGGGATAAGCTCATCATATGAAGTTGTTAATCTCTAGCTTTATTTGGATTATAGATTGCAGTATCCACACAACTTTCAACCCCATAAATTCTAACTTGAAGAAAGTGCTCCCTCACAACCACTTTAAAAACTTGCAAACTAGATTTACAGAACATCAACACTATAAATTGACTAGGACCAGAGGAAGAGCTAGCAGCGACATTGATCAGTCTGCTGATTTGACTAAGCACTAGCAACACCCTTCTCCATCCCTTCTTTATGAATCAATGCAACCTGTTTTGTATCAATCAGCCTTGCAACAACTAGCTCTCTATCTATGACTGGAAGTTTGGTATTGGTTTTTGGCATTTACCGAATATCGTACCGAACTTATCACTATTTGGTATTATCAAATATAGACTTATTTTTTAGGGATTCTGATTGGGATTCATTTTGGAGTGTTATTCGGTTATTCCTCACTCTTTCAAAACTTAGAAGTATATACCGAAATATACGATATATCGGGATTATGATATTGAGATCGATATATACCGAAATATCGAGAAAAACCAAAAATTAAAAATTGATGAAATATAGCTCATAACCTTTGGTTATTCCTCTCTCTTTCACAACTTAGAAGTCCCATTCAACTCAATTTTGACTTTCCATTTTAAGGCACTCTCGTCTCGCACCTAATCTCTTGGTATTTTCATAACACAAAAAACCAAACACTAGTATTATTCGTCTCTCAGCCTCCAATTCGTCAAATTAAAGATTACAATTGACAAGAATTTGAGATGTCGCCTCTTCTTCATTCTCCTTATCCATATTCTAGCTCTAGGCAAACTCAAGACTCTTTGCTTAGTCTATTTGACATAAATTAAACAATCAAATCTAACTTATATATTTAATTATTAATTGCAAAGTTAATTAATTTTATATTCGATAATAATGATAGGGATACCGAAGTACCGCTTGGGATACCGAAATATTTAAGAATTGGGATTGAGATACCAAAATTATTAAGGGATTGGGATTGAGATTATTTCAGGATAAAATTCGGTATTCGGTATTGGGATACCGATACCGTAGCAATTTCCACCTCTATCTCTATCATAGAGAATCTCCCGTATCTTGCACTCCAACCCTTCACCAATATTATCATTAAAGACTTCACACTTCACATAGTATGATGAAACATTTGGCTACTCCACAGAGAACATCATTGCTTCACCTTCTTCTGGTTGAATGCAAAACTCAAATGTAGAAGCAAAATTTCATAGCATGATGAAACATTTGGCTACTCCACAGAGAACATCATTGCTTCACCTTCTTCTGGTTGAATGCAAAACTCAAATGTAGAAGCAAAATTTGTAGAAAACTCGGAAAAAATCCAAATCTACCACTGTTAAAAAAAATTTACAAATCTACCACCCAAATCGAAAATATTTAAAATCTACCACCATTATTTGAAAATCGCCACCCAAGGAGGCGGTTTGCATATGAACCACATGTTGAGATCGCAGTTTGTCGGAGAACCGCATGGTGAGGAGTCGTTTTAAATTTTTTGAACAATCTGCCTCCTATAGAGGCGGTTCATTGGTTGCCCTAGAACAAACCGCCTCTTGAAGGAGCGATTCTACGTCGACAACAGAAATCACTCCTTCAGCATGCGGTTTATTGTGTCGACACACAAACTGTTCCCTCCCCCAACGATTTGTGTGTAGTCCCCATTCCCCCGACATCCGGCATGTCGCCATGTAGGGGGTGCAGACGTGGGGGCTGCATGCCAAACTAAAACGCCCCCTCCCCAACGGGTTTTAGTCATAATTTTGCCTATTAAAGGCAGCTCCGAAAGCCTCAGCTCTTCACCCCTCTTCTTATTCTTCTTCAAATTTCTGTTGTGCACCTTACTTTTTTGAGTTTTTGCGATTAACGTTAACTCGTAAGTTATTTTTTTATTACTTTTTTTTGTGATTTTGATGGTATTAATTTAGTTACGATTGTATTGCAAATGAAATTTCAAAATTTCACACTTGGGTTACGGTGGAATGGTTATACTGAAGAGACCGGAAAGGGGGTACGTTACTTCAGGGCATGTTTGATAATTTTTTCAAAGTATAGGAGTATGTTTGATGTAAATAATAGATCGACATGTTTGATAAAACTGCATAGTAGAGAGGCATTTTATACCTATAACATTTTTATCTATTATGTTTGTAATGTTTATATGACTAATTTGTATACATTTTAATATTTGTTTGTCTAGTTTCTATACTTTGTATTTATTGATTTGTAATACAAATTTACTGTTTTGTATTGTAAGTAGTGGCATTTTGTACGGCTAGTATGTTTAGTAATGTTTGTCGGTTTAGTTTGTATTGTTTGTATAGTTCGTATGTTTCGTATTGTTTGTAAATCTGTTTGTATGTTTTGTCGCTCTAGTTTGTATTGTTCGTATGGTTGTATGGTTTGTACTATTTGTAAGTCCGGTTTGTATACTTCTTAATTTTTCATAATATCCAAACTACCTGTATCATTAATTAAAAAGCCCTTCTCAATTTTTAACCGTCAATTTGGTGTGTCCAGATCTAAGAGCTGTGAGGAACTTAGCCAAATGACTATGCACCCCTTATTCACTAGATCGGCCTCATATCAAATCTAACTTCATTTTGGAGAAATTTTTATTTTTTTAATTCTTTTCGAATTCATCAGATGTACACAAGAGTATTATAATAATATTTCTCAATAATAAATAACAACAAAAAAATACTTAAGAATTCAAAAAAGTTTGAAAATATGACAAATTGATCAATGTAAAATATATATATATGGTGGCTTCTATGGTACCCCGGGTGAAATCCGGGGTACCGCATAACTTGAGTATGGAAACTCTATCTAGACCTTGAATTACCAGGATTTTTGTGTCTGATATTATACCCTAACTCTTAATGAGTGAACCGTAGGTCACAATTATCTAAATCATAATCTATAAACCCTAAGATGGTGCATTCCTTTTTGTGCCTATATTTGGATGAATCATAACCGTCGATTATTGTTTCTAATTAAATTGATCTTAGAGTATAAGATTGGGAGAGTTAACACCTAGATTTTGATCTTTAAGTGTTAGAGTATAGTATCATGTCCGAAAGATCGATCAATTCAAGGTCTAGATAGTGTTTTCATACTCAAGGTATGCGATACCCCGGATTTCACCCAGGGTACCGTAGAACTCGCCATATATATATATATATATATATATATATATATATATATATATATATATATATAATAAAGAAAAAGATACATCTGGCCCTTACAAGGTAGTAATTATATAATATATATGCTCATTAATTATTCATTTCATTATTCCGTGGTACATTTAAGTAGGATATATTAGTATTATCGCTTTTCAGTTTTCTTTCTTTATTATTGTGCATTATCAAAGACGCGGAAGCTGCTGACTGACCCTTCTCCAGGAAGTAAACTTACCAATCAAATCTCACCCCAGAGAAGGAAAAAGAGACTTTTTTTTTCCGTTCCATTTTCTTGAATTCATCCGAATTGCTCTGCAATCCCAGCGGCTGTTTTCGATTTCCCTGACTTTATCTGCCCAATCTTTCCTTTCTCTCTGACATGGCGGATCGCGGATCCTTCGGGCTGGGCCCTCGATTAGGTCAGCTTCTTCTTGTTGTTGTTGTTGTTGTTCTTCTTCTTCTTCGACTTTTCTTTTGGCTTTCGTTGTGGGTTTTTGAAGAATGCTTGCTTAATCGTTAGTATAGATCCGGCTACTTGCTCAATCTCTCAGTTTACTACTGGGGTTCTGTCACCAGTTTGATTGGTTGGCGGCCCCCGTACTGCTTGCTTCACTAAGAAGTTTTCTGTAGTTAGGGTTTTCTTGTTTCCTCAAGATGATAAATCTCTGAGGCGTTTCTTGGCCCGGCTGAGTAGCTGGGCAGGTGAGCCGCGCCTTTGCATCAGTAAAGTGGGAAATCTTTCTTCGAAAGGGAAAAGATTTTTCCTAGGATCATCTGCTATTCTGAAAAATGGAAGAAGTCGTCTACTCATTTACTCACTCATTGTTACGACTCGGTTGAACTGACTGAATTAGCACAAAATTGCACCTCTATTCCCTTTACTCGCTTGTAAATCGCAGAATGGCCAAGCGGTAATAATGTGTGGGGGATGTTAATCTCTAGGCCAAAAATGGATAAGTTCAGGGCGGCCCTATTTTTATGTTTCTTTCACATTTGCGGATGTATGATTTGAGACATATGGTGCTAGTGAATGCATCTTTGTCCCCTGGTGTTTTGAATTCTAACCTAAACATTTAAACAATCCTTCCGATTCTACTGCAACAAACTTCTACTTTTCAGTGGCTTTGCTTGTTATTACACAACTCTGTTTTGGGGTTGCCAGATAAAAGACTGGACTGTTTTTGTTCTTGGTCTTATTCTTTCCTTGTCGCCATTGACAGTAAACAAAGCAGTTGGCACGAATTTGGCAGTATATCTAATTGCAAGATGGATGGAACTTTCACAGGATATGCCTAAGTATTGGAGTCGTGAACTTATAGATACTATTTGTGATGGCAAACTACCATAAGTGACCACCCATGCTGCGTGGCTTGGGTGATAGTTGATGTGATTGCTTCTATATATTATATTCTAGGGAATGGAAGTAATGATTGGAAAGGAAGGACTAATTCCTGGAGTGTATGAATATCTTGATTACAGGACATTCAGTATGGATTTCAGTGGCAGATTTGTTTGCCATTTCGGTTTACTGTAGTTACATAAATCTACTCATGATTTTCTAGACCAATCTGCTTTTAGTACGTTTGTGGTCCTTCTTCCTTTTCTATTTGTCATCATGTATGATTTGCTTGTTTCCTCTGAAGAGTAACTACCATGTTTCTTAACTGCAGACATCCAACAACTTTTTAATGAAGCACAACATCGATGGTTGCGTCCTGCTGAGATTTGTGAGATCCTGCGTAATTACCAGAAATTTCATATTTCAACAGAACCTCCAAACAAGCCAGCAAGTATGATATTTAAACTCACGGTGAACATAATAGTACTCTTGCTCGTTCTCGTTTTTCTGCAATATATTCTTACATGTATGTTCCTCAGTGTGTAATGTTTGGTAAAATGGGAGAGTGCAATGAGTCGATTTTACTGCCGAGGATTAATTAACAACTTGAACTTCGTTTCCTGGAGTAAAAGTTCTATGTTAATACATAATACTCAGTCTTACATGTATGTTCCGCAGTCTGTGAGACAAGTTGAATTGCTAATTACTTCCCACTTGATGGTAAAATGCTTCCCATTTGTTCACAGATGGGGCACACATCTAAGTCATACACATCTTAGTTTCCATAAAATTTCTACCTTTTCTTGGTATCTGGTGCTACATCACATGTCCATAAAGATTAGTGCAGGGATCCAGTGTTTGGTACATTTCTCATGATATAGTTAGCTAGAAAAAGACTTGAAATGAGATGGACATGTGAATTCCATTGTTGATGTGGGTCTACATACCATCATTAATTTGGTTAGTTCTGTCAATTATGTTCAGATTGCTTTACAGATTTCACATATTCATTCACCATGCCAGGTGGTTCTCTTTTTCTGTTTGACCGGAAGGTGTTGAGATACTTTAGGAAGGATGGACATAACTGGCGGAAGAAAAAGGATGGAAAAACTGTGAAGGAAGCTCATGAGAAGTTGAAGGTGTGCTAGACCCTAGAGGGCGTGTGGTCTTTTTCTTTATATAGCCAATTTACTTTGATCGTGGTGGCACTTAGTCCTTTACTTTAACATGTGTGAAAGAATCGAAACAATGTTGTTACTCGAGTTTCTGTTTCTGAAAAGTGACAACATTGACATACTTTGTAGGTTGGAAGTGTTGATGTGTTACACTGTTATTATGCACATGGCGAGGAGAAGGAAAGTTTTCAACGGCGCAGCTATTGGATGCTTGAACAGTACGTTTAAAATCCCTTCCAAATTTCTGTCTGCATAATGCTTGCTCTTGCTTTCCTTTGTTTTTGGGTACTTGATGAATGATCCATTTCTTCTTGAGCATCAGTTAAATTTGTCATTTGATCTGATCATGAGCTTTGTATGTCATTCTTATTTGGTCTAAAGCAGTGCGTTAACTTCCGTACAATTATAGATTATGTATAACAAAACCATGGTTGTCCACATCCTTCTTCATGTTTGTATACCTTGATGCACAAATATTATGTTTTGCTTGGAGATGTAATAAAAGATATGGAGGGATACAACTTCATCAATTTTGAATATGTATCAGTGGTTAAATGGGTTGTGTATCTCGGTGTTGGTTGAAACTGGGATGTTTTTGCAAACATAAAATTAAGGCCAACGGAGTCAGCAGTCTTATTCATCCCCACCATTGGTATCATGCACTTATAATTATAGAGACTGTAAGACAACCACGTCCCATAATCACAAACAGAGAAGCCTTTTCTGGTAAGGTTCAGGTTAGTGTGTGGCACTATCGGTTTGACACCCCCTTCTCTCTCTGTTGCTGTTTGCAGGGAACTGATGCACATAGTTTTCGTGCACTACTTGGAAGTTAAGGTTATTTTCTTTTCCTTTACTTTAATCTAATTGTTTATTAGTGTATGTTTGTTGATGGAGAAATGGTAGCGGCTCTATGACTGTTATAGCTACATTAATATTGTGGATACCAGTCTATACCAAAACTGTGGTCTGTTTTCTATTCTATGGAGTAGACTGGTGTTTGTAAAGCAGATCTTCCTACTTGGTTGTAGTGTGTAAGATATAAAATAAGTTAAAAATTCTGCTCCTCTTCATCTGCTGCACCCCCCGCCCCCAAAAATGTTCTCTTATACCGGGGTTATCATTTTTCCCATCAGGGTAACAGGACACACAGTAGTCCATCAAACAGCCTTGTGAATCACAACAGAGAGCCATCTGGAAATACTGATTCAGCTAGTCCAAGTAGTACTCTATCATCCTTGTGTGAAGATGCTGATTCAGGTAGTTCTATTGGATGTATTTTTGCATTAATTTTATACACTCCAATTAGTTTGCAACGGCACATCGAGGGTTACTTCAACTGCTGTACTATTTAGACTTGGACCACCCAGTTCTTACTTGGAATGTTGGTACAATTTAATGTAGCTGATAGTCACCTAACAACTGGGGGCTACTCACTCGTTGGGCCACCACAATTACAGAATAGTGTTACTATGGACAAATTGGATGTTGGCTCATCAAGTTCTCATCTGTCATATTCTGGTCTAGGTAAGCATTCTGCTTTATTCTTTGATGTAATTGATTTTGGAGCCTGTTTTTATTTGGATAATGTGCATCAAGCTTAGACTTCTAGATGATCGATGAATTTTATGTTGTGCTAACATGGTGTTTTGTGTCAGTTCATGGAGGAGGCTCTGCTGCATTTCACGTTCATGGAGGTGGATTTGGCACTAATGACAGTGGTTCAAACATTATTGATTCACAAGGGCTAGCATCCTGGGAAGAGGTCTATCAGCAATCTTCAAGGGGGTTTGATAATGCGCCTTTGCATCCATCACTTAGTTCCCCACAACTTGGTAATTTTGGCATTGGAGGAAATTTGATGAGTTTACCCAGTGGGAGCACTGCCAAAGCTAACGTACAATCAACTTGGCAGGTACTTTCATCTGTTTCTGTTTTATTGACCAACTGCCCTATATTGGAAATTTAATTTATTTTTCTTCTGCATTGCACAATTTGGGATATGTTTGGCAATTTGGGGTATGTTTGCTATATTTTTTCTTTTGTTGATGAGCATCCGTTTGTTTCTCAACCAATTGGAGATCCATTGGAGAAGTTTGCTGCAGCCTCAATAGAATAAGTTGAAATGTGCTTGGAATCGTTAGACTAGTCAGAACATAAAATTAGGATAGTTGGAAGGATATTTGTTTGCTTGGACAAGTTGTTATTGGACTCGACCTATGAACTTATATAGATTGGAATGAACAAAGGTTAAGATGCCTATAATTTTATGTGATCAAAGAAGAATGTGTCCCCATTCACTTCTTTCTTTGGCCTGCTTCCGTGTTCATTTGTACTCGACATTTCATTATGAAGGTTTGTAATATTGTTGATGAGTTTTGTGCTTTCCTAGGTTATTACTAAAACATATTTGATTTATCCAGATCTCTGCAGGGGACAGTTCCTTGCACTTTCCTGTTGGAAGCGTAGACCCAACACTAGATTCGGAATTGGCATATGATTTTGGAAGTAGGTTATTTGATCAGAGAACGCAAGACTTTGGTACACAGAATACATTGGAACCATACTTTACTGAGTCTCTTCAGCAATCTGAACAGCTTTTACAGAACAATCTCCAAATGGAGCTCCTAAATGCAGAACTGCACTATGCTACTGGCTCAAATTCTGTTGTTGAGGGAACTGCTGAAGGAATTGGCAGATATACTTTAAAAGCAAAAAAACCCTTGTTGGGTGAGGAAGAAGGCTTGAAGAAAGTTGACAGCTTTTCTCGATGGGTTAGTAAGGAACTTGGGGAAGTGGATGATCTGAATATGAGGTCATCACCTGGCATTGCATGGAGCAATGTTGAATGTGGAAATGTAGGTGATGAGTCTGTCTTGAGTCCCTCTTTGTCACACGACCAGCTTTTCAGTATAATGGACTTTTCACCCAAGTGGGCTTATGCAGACTCCGAGACAGAGGTATGTGTGCTGTTATTCAGAATCATATTTCTGAGTCAGTTCATCTAGTTGAGGTGCAATCAAATTGATCATGCCTTGGGAAATTTGTTTCATCTGACTGGTGCTTTTGAGACTTTGTCAACCTGTTCAGCTAATCAGTAGGTATGTTGTTGAGTAGTCGATTAGGTTATTAATAGTTGCCAGCTGAGTGATCAAAATGTTATCTGTTAATTATTCCGGGGAAGCTTAATTTCACTGACCAGTCTGACCTACTAAGATGGAAAATTAAAAATAAGAAGTGGTACACAAGTCATTTTAGAAGGAATTATTCCCTGATTTAACATGGATTGGCAAAACTGGCATCTGGAGAATTGTTGTTTACCCTCTTGCCTGCTCGTTCTTGTTAAATAGCTACCAACTTTCTTGCATCTCATAAAGTAAATTTACATTTGTGTCTAATTTTCATAGACTTTGCTTTATCATTTTCCCCCCTTGGATCAGGTTCACATTGTTGGCATGTTTTTGAAGACTCAAGAGGAGGTGAAAAAGTGTGAGTGGTCTTGCATGTTTGGAGAAGTAGAGGTTCGAGCTGAGGTTTTGGCTGATGGGATTCTTTGTTGCTTTGCTCCACCTCATGATGTTGCTAGGGTCCCTCTTTATGTTACATGTTCAAATAGGGTGGCTTGCAGTGAAGTACGAGAATTCGATTATCATGTGAATTCAGTAAGAGATATTGACATAAGAGATGTTTATGGTGGTAATGCTACTGAAATGTGGCTTCATCTACGACTTGAGAAGTTATTGTCATTCAGAGCATCCATGGAGACAAGTCATACCCTTGATATTGCTGGAGCAAAGCAGAAGCTAGTTCGGAAAATCATGCTGCTGAAGGAGGAAGATGAAAATTACCAGATGACGGAAGCAACCTCAGAGGAAAATCTGTCTCAGGTCGAAGTGAAAAAGAAACTTCTCCATAAGCTCATTAAAGAGAAGCTTTATTCGTGGCTTCTTCATAAGGTTACAGAAAGTGGCAAGGGACCATGTGTTCTGGACAGTGATGGACAAGGTGTGATACATTTAGCTGCTGCCCTTGGTTGGGACTGGGCTATAAAGCCGACTGTGGCTGCTGGAGTTAGCATCAATTTCCGTGATGCTAATGGATGGACTGCTCTTCATTGGGCTGCATACTGTGGCAGGTGTGCAGTTTGGTCTTCATTTTTACTCTATCGTTCTTTCATTTTGGAATTTTCTTCACCATCTATGTAATTATGACAACTAACAAAGTTGTGTTTGGAGTTTTCTTAATATTCAGGGAGCAAACAGTTGCAGTCCTTGTCTCACTGCATGCAGCTCCTGGGGCATTGACAGATCCGTCTCCCGAGTTTCCTTCTGGTAGAACTGCAGCTGAACTGGCCTCTGGCAATGGAAACAAGGGCATTTCTGGTTTCCTGGCAGAGTCATTTTTGACCAGCTACCTATCAACTCTCACAGTGAAGGAACAACAGAAAGAAGATGTGCAGCAGGGGGAAAAAGTTGTGCAGACAATAGAAGAGCGAACAGCTACTCCTGTGAGTGGGAATGATGTTCCAACGGATGCACTATCACTGAAGGATTCCCTTACTGCTATACGCAATGCTACACAAGCTGCTAATCGGATATATCAAGTATTCAGGATGCAGTCGTTCCAGCGGAAACAATTGAGTAGTAGTAATGAGCATTTTGAAGAAAGTGAAAGTGATGAATTATTTTGTTTATCAGATGAGCATGCCCTGTTATCCCTCCTGACCCGCAGCAAACCGCCACGGTATTCAGATGGAATGGTTCATGCTGCTGCTACACAGATCCAAAAGAAGTTCCGTGGTTGGAAGAAGAGGAAGGAGTTTCTGATTATCCGACAGAGAATCGTTAAAATCCAGGTTTCCTTCTAGCTCTCATTTTCAAGCTGCCTTTTGTTATTTATGTATCTTCATTCATCTTTAGTAGTGTCAGCTTGCAATGAACTATTTTGATGTGCTAAAAAGTGTAATCATTGATCTTTCCTCCTCGTCCATTTATTATCGCCTGACATGACATTCTGGTTGGGTTGATTGCATGAATGAAGGCCCATATCAGAGGACATCAGGTGAGGAAACAGTATAGAACAATCGTTTGGTCTGTGGGAATCTTGGAGAAGATCATCTTGCGGTGGAGACGTAAAGGTAGTGGATTGCGTGGATTCCAACGCCGTGATCCAATGGCAGAGGAGGATTCTCCTCTACAAACTGTGCCTCCTCCAAAGGAGGATGACTACGATTTTCTCAAGGAAGGAAGGAAACAGAACGAGGAAAGGGTACAAAAAACTCTGACTAGAGTAAAATCCATGTTTCATGATCCCAACGGGCGTGCGCAGTACAGAAGGCTACTCACTGTTGTCGAAGGACTGAGGGAAAATCATCAGGTATTGTGTAATTTCCTTTATTATAATGATCATGTAGGGAAGAAAAAAAACTAGCTTTGTTTTTGTATGAAAGAAGATTGCTTTTCTGGGATTGGGATGCACAAATTGATCAAATTGCTAAATTTTTTGTCAGGCATGTGATATGATTCTGAACGACCACCCTGATGAAACGGCGGAAGGCGATGAGAGCTCTGAGTTGTTAGATTTCGGCTCACTTTTGGATGATGATACCTTCATGTCTCTAGCATTCGAGTAACAGTCATGAAAACCAGATCACTCCAAACCAACTGATTGCTGCCCTTACTATGTAGATATAGATTGGATGTCCCCTTTTTTCGTTTATTCCTTGTTTTGGTTGTTGTAGTAGTTGTTTGTATATGGAAATATGTCTAACACAATGTAGCTAGAGCAAATAGGATGGATTGGTCGGGATCATCGTATAGGTAAAATAGACTACAAGGCAGCTTTGCTCTGTTGAACTGGTGTTTCTTGACAACTTTACAACTGCTTATGGATTGTTCAATTTCTTATGATGACGTTTTCTGCTTCATTTCCTCTTCACATGGGGTACTGGAATAGGCATAAATTTTCTGTTTTTACGATACTCATTTTCTTGGTGTTCTGTCAAGGTTCTCTCCAAAGTGTCCAGAACTTATTGGACCGCCCCTTGTCCCGATTGCTTGGGACATGAGATGGGTTTTGTAATTGTAAGACTAATTATATTAATGTGTTACCAAATGCATATTTGCTAGTAAAGTCAAAATGAACTAAAAAATGAGGATTTTCCCCCCACTTTTTACTTTTTCAGTCATACTTGGTTTTTTTAGAAGTATTTTGCCATAATTTAAGCACAATGTTTTTAATTGCATATGATATATATGGTTGATTTTGCAGTTGCAATGGTTTACTTTGTGAAACACTCTAGAAACTCGTAGTCAATCTTAGGAAGCTTATGGAAGATCTGGATGATTTCGTCATGTATATGATGTATCTATCTTAAATTCTTGATCTTCCATGCATCCACTAGCGAAGGGAGGTCGAGAGGATTTGGTTCCTAGGATCCCATTTGGTAAAATAGAAACGTTTGGTAAAATAGAAACGGGTATGTATATGTAGGTGAACTTGGTAAATATATGGGTAGGATAATTTAGGACTCCGTAATTATGAATTTAGTTCTCTCCACGATTAAACAAGCAAATAAATAAATTCAAATCACCAACAGAACTACGGGTGGGCAATGGGTTGGTTGGTCCACAGTGGACCACATCGGACCGAATCGATGTTTGGACCGGACCACAACGAATCGAATATAATATGGTCCGGTCTTTGGTCCAATGAATTTTATAAATACTGAAGAAAAATGGACCAAATTGACATTTGAACCGGACCAAAGTGGACCAAAATGGATCGAATGCAATATTAGTCCGATCTTTGGTTCTAAGAGATCTTTCACTATTGGACCGCGGTTCTCCTAAATTTGGTCTGATTCGGGCCGAACCAGACTGATGCCCACCCCTAAACATAACAACAAGAATGGTTGAGTTTTTAATTTTAAAATTTTCTCATTCTAGTATATATAAAAAAAAGTTCGCCCTTCCACATTTCAACCAACATATTTGTTTTATTTAGAACAATTATTGCATTTTTATAATATGAATATATTAACTTATATGCCAGTGAAACTGACACTTACTATAGATGAATCATCGATGCATGGTATGATTGAGTTTTAGTATGCATGATGCTACTCGAGATTTACCTTCTTATACAATAACGTATCTTTACTTTTATACATCTATAACTTGAGAAATTCTAAAAACTTTACTCTTGCTTTCTTTTGTTTCCTTTGTTTGTTGCTTGAATAAAAATCCCTAAAGATGCTTGTCTATTTTGTGTAAGCATAGATGATGTGGTATGAGTAGTTGTGCATTAGAAGACCTTGTGAAATACAACACTAGGGCATCATAAGATTATAAATCGATACTAAGATCAAGGGGGCAATGGAAGAACAAATGTTCTATGATTTCTTGATGTTCCCAGTAAGCGGGACAGCAATTAAGGTCATTTACATCTTGGGATTGAAAGTACCACTGTTATGGGACAATCCAAGTACCACATCGGTAATACAAGAGAAGAAACCCTTGTATATTAGAGTCCACCAAGCCCAATTAGTACAAGGCATTTTGGGGAGGACACCCAAGAGTAAAACTGTGTTGGCTTGGCCCAAAGCGGACAATATCGTACTAATTGAGCTGCCCGGTTTCGACAAGTGGTATCAGAGCCTGGTTCGGCGAATCTGGGGCGGTGGATGTCAGTTTGGTGGGACCCTCATTCGGTGGCCTCAAGATTTGATATCTGCGTTTGTCTAGCGGGTCAAAGGTGATTCGCATATGTTTGGTGGATCCAGGAGAGATCCACGTTTGGGCTTTGGCGGATAAAAAGAGAGTTCCGCGTCTGGTAAAGTCCTTGTACCGAGAAGCCCATCAATACAAGGCGTTTGGCAGATCAAGATAATCGCTGACATGAGGACACAAAGTTCGTGGTCCTTGTCTTGAGGGGAGGATTGTTATGGGACAATCAAGTACCACATAGGTAATACAAGGGAAGGAACCCTTGTATATTAGAGTCCACCCACTTGTCATACCGGGGTGCTTAATTAGTACGAAATTGTCCGCTTTGGGCCAAGCCCGCACGGTTTTACTCTTGGGTGTCATCCCCAAAAGGCCTCGTACTAATTAGGCCAGGTGGACTCTTATATACAAGGGTTCCTTCCCTTGTATTACCAATGTGGTACTCGGATTGTTCCATAACATTCCTCCCCTCAAGACAAGGACCACGAACTTCGTGTCCTCACCTCAGCGATTATCTTGATCTGCAAGACACCTTGTATCGATGGGCTTCTCGGTATAAGGATTTTCTCAGACGCGGACCTCCCTTGATCCGCCAAAGCCCAAACGTGGATCTCTCCTGGATCCACCAAACAGACGCGAATCACCTTTGACCCGCTAGACAAACGCAGATCTCAAATCCTGGGGCCACCAAATGAGGGTCCCACCAAACTAATGTCCACCGCCCCAGATTCGCCAAACCAGGCTCTGATACCACTTGTCCAAACCGGGCAGCTCAATTAGTACGATATTTCCCGCTTTGGGCCAAGCCCGCACGGTTTTACTCTTTGGTGTCCTCCCCAAAAGACCTCGTACTAATTGGGCTAGGTGGACTCTAATATACAAGGGTTCCTTCCCTTGTATTATCGATGTGGTACTTGGATTGTCTCATAACAACCTCCATAGTTGGCAATACCACTTTTAGACACTGCCAGAGGAAAATTTTCAATTCAGGGGGATATTAGTCACCGAAGTTCTCCTCTAGATTGGGGTGTCAATAATAGAAGTTGATGGTTTGCGACTAGAAATTAGAATTGACTCTGAAGCGAGGTTGTAGCCCGTTTTAACTAGATAAACGATTCTAGTAAAATGCCATATTCGCTTATCTTCTTGGGGAAGATGGGGGATGGAGATTTTGCAGATAATGTCGATCGTCTTACTTTCAAAGCAATATTTCAATCTTTGGGACATTTCTAATCCTTCTTGAATGAAGGAAATCCTTTGTGATCCATTAGTGACCAACAGTCTTAAAGATGAGACTGTGGTTTTATCTGCGAGGACCCATTTATTCGAGAAGACGTCTATATTCTTAACATTCCTAATTTGCTAACGTAGTCCTTGTAGCAGTAATTCTCATCTAAACAAAATGATTCTCCAATCCCACGAAGGGTTTGACCCAATTGGGTATTTGGAATCGAATTTTGGTTGAAGTAACAACTTTTATAAATTAAGCTGAGCAGGGAATTTGGACTCATCCAAATGCACCAACAAAGCTTTGATAGGAGAGCTTCATTAAAAGCTCTAAAATCCCAAAATTCCAGTCCACCATAGAATTTACTCTTGGCTAATCCCTTCCAAGGTACCCAACGGATTGGATGATCATAATTAGTAGAGGTGGCCCATCGAAATTTGGCTTTTATAAATTAGAACTAGTTTGGCACAACTGTAGCTTTTACAAAAACAAACTTCTCACTGGAGCTTTTAACCTCATTTAAATCTAATGACTCCAATCAATCTAATTTAATGGAGAATTATATTGCAATTACATGACTTCTTTAATTTTCAATTATTAAGTAGTTAAAGAAACCTTTCACTGTCAGGCGTCACCTCCCATCACAACGTCTAGGGATTTACCAAATGACTTCCCCATTTCTTCTGCGGCTTCTATCACGACCTTACTCTCGATTGTGCGGCCCTAGCTCTCAATTCCGTTAGAGCGCTAGGCAGCCTTCTCTCAAACTCACAAGCAAGCAAAGAAGCAAGGAAACAAGACAAAGAAGTGGGAGAACTCTCTAGTGTGTATTGCTCTAAAAAATGTGGAATGAGTTAGGCTCCTTATATAGGCCTCTCCTCATACAAGGCATCAATGCCCGTCATAATGTCTCTCTCCATTATTACACCCTATTAAGTCCATAGACCAGGAAACCAGATCGTACCGGCCGGTTGAACCAAAAAAACTGGAAGCCTAACCAGAAACGGAACAGTAGGCTGTTAGTGGTTAATTTATCGTGTCGGCCGGGTTTTTTGGTTTAACCGGCATGAAACGAAATACCGCTCGGTTTTGAAAAAATAGGCAATAGGCTATTTGCAGCACAAAATGTTGCCGTTTTTTATTCAACCAAAAAATACTAATAATCAAAAGGCGAGTCCATACCCTAATACCCAAATCAAACGATCGTTTCTTTTTTCCCCAGAATTTTAACCCCGCCCCGCCCCGTTGCTCCTTTTCTCTTCCCCTCTGGCGACCTACAACCGACGAAAGGAATGGGGAGAGGACGTCTGTCGTCTGCCGTCCGCGATCTACGACGAGCTCGAGTCTCGCACCCCTTGGTCGAGGCTGCCTCCCCTGCCGAGTGCCGACCGTCGATTCAATCTCCCTCCCCTGTCGAGTCTCCCTCCCCTATCGAGAACACCACGTCGCCGCCGCGCCTATTCACCCTCTCCTGCTCGACGATTTGGACTTCCATCCCATAGATATATGTCGAGCTCGAGTTTCACTATGCTGGTTCCATTCACATTCCTAGTGTTTTGCTAATAGCATTGGCAGAATCGCCTGAGGTTAATGACAGGCTCAACATATCTCTACATGAGTTATATGACGGTAGAAGATTTCGACGAAGACCAAGTTAAAGGTTTCAACAAAATAAACAAGTTAGGGAGTAATGATTTAACTTTGGTAAGTGGTAACTAAAAGGTCAAGGAACCAACTAGAAAAGTATAATTGAAAGCATATTGATTGATTGGTAGTTGTGAACTTGGGGTTTGGAATGGTATTTGGTTGTTTTGTACTTTGTAATCGTTGCTAAACATGCATTGGAACGATTATGTAGTTGATTCTAAAATGTTGCACTTTGTTGAATGTTATATTACTTATGCTTATATAGTATATTCAAGTTTGCAATCCGGTATTTTCCGGTTTATTTCGATATACTCCAAAACGCTATCCTGAAACCGTCGGTACGGTTTATTAATAAAACAAATTTTTTTATTCCAAAAATAGTATCTTACTGGTACATAAAGGTTGAACCACGATCGTACCACAAAATACCCTACCACAGACAAACCCGGTATGACTTCCGGTATGGTTTCCTGAACAATGGTCCAAACACAACCACGCTTTGAATCGGGTTGCATAAACATTGCAACTGAAATTAGCAATGTACAATTAGACTAGCTAAATAATATGAACATTTGTTGCTTTCTCTAAACACATGTCAAGCAACTACTTCCCAATCACGACTGATCAATGCCCGAAAGCGGTCGATAAGGGCCACATGGTGATGATTCAGGTATGCGTTGCTGCTGAGGAGTTGGAGAGCACATCTCGAATCCAACTCCATCCTAACGTGTTGATATCCAAGACTCCAAGCCAGCTCGAGTCCCTCTACAACGCCTCTCAACTCAGTTTGGGTGATTGAGCAAATCCCCAAGCTTCATGTGAACATCGCAAGGCAGCGTCCTAGGTAATCTCTTAACATGCCTCCAGCAGCGGCAAAACCTGTATCATGGTGAACGGAGCCATCTGAGTTGAGAGTGACCCACTCGGGAGGAGGGGGCTTCCACGAGATCAACTCCTCCTTTTTGATGGGCAGATTCGGTTGGTGAACTAACTGATCCTTATCCATGGCTATCGTCACGACATTAATCCAATCCAGGATGCATTGTAGAAATGACTCGACTGTAATGACCTTGTTAGAAAAGACTCGGTCATTTCTGGTACTCAGAAGGTCGGAGAAGCTTTATCCAAGTTAACCGGGCAAAGGGACAGTCCCACAACACATGAAGGACTGTTTCTGCCTTCTGGGGTGGTGCGGCAATTGCTACAAGTGATTAGGGTGGTCAAGTGTCTCCTACCCCTCTCCGTGTTCGAGGTCATGTTTAGCTAGTCGAGGCCATGTTTTGCCTCTTGGTTTCCATTCTTTTCCTGTTAACGATCCTACTTTGATGTACTGGATTATGTATGATGCTCAGGGGATCTCTGAACCCTGTTTGGTTATGAATGAAGGTTAGGATGCTTGCATCCATTTATAAAAAAAGCATTGTACAATTAGAAATTGAACTTATTTGCCCGAATTCCATATGAAAGTGCTGGAAGGACATGAACATAATGAAATCCTCCTAGCATGTTTAGACAATTCAGAATTAATTCCGGAGAAGTCACTCTTCATAGTTGGAGGGTTTTGCCGAATTGCGAACAAAACACGCATATGCGAGATTTAGTCATTGAGTCCAAAAGTTTTTCATTTGAGGAAATTACGCATCTTGCTCGTGAAAAACGGATACTCTCTTTGCAACAATAATAGAAGGTGAACATAATTAATGGTAGGTAATGATCTATCCGTGGAACGTTACCTATGGATAATACATCAACATATTTTCCAACCGATGAACCATAATGAAATATGAGCTCATACTGAAGGAAAGCACAACATTTCCCTAGATCAACAAACAGAAAATTAAATGACATGATAATGCCCTAAGAAATTATAATTAATCAACTGTTGATTGAATAAATGACGAAGTCTGGTATTGAGGATTTTACACGACATATTGCTCCCGCAAGTGACACCATGCTAGTAATGGATGACTCCCTCTCTTACTTTCACAGTATCCATAGATATTATATGGCACGAAACAATAGGGATGAGAAATGAGAATGACATGCTTGGTTACTTATGATGGTATAATTAGCGCACTAATAAAATTGGAAGGAAAACTCTAACAGATTTTTGTTTGCAAGTGTTTCTACTGAAAAGTGACACATAAATTTAAAAGACTCGTATATACAAATTTCAAAAAGTAAAAGAACACGTAACCGCTCCATATGCACAAATTCGATGTAATAAGAACATCCTTAAATAGAAAATCCTCCATATAAGTGGTTTATACATTGAAAGAAGGCCAATTTTTGAACAAAAGATTCGAGATACATCTGTATCCATTTTCAGCTTCAGTTGGTATGAGTGTAGAAAGACTTGGCACATCAGTGTCTTCTACGACAAGTTCATATTTGTAGTTGAAACCATACATGATTGAGGAAGCAATGCTGAAATGAAAAGGCACAGTAATATATATTAATTTACAGTAGTCAAAGTCCAATTAAACACATCTCATAAGCCAATTGTACAATCAAAGATTAACATGCTATAGTAATGATAATGGCATAGTATTCTCTCAACCCTACACTATGGGATGACCTCACAAGTCCAGTCTAACAACATCAACTTCAACCACCCATAGCTAAAAAGACAAGGGGGTTGACCTCAAAAGTTGAAACATGTGAGAAAAATTCATTACACTTAACTGCAATAGTAAAAGAACTACATCATTTTCTTCTCTTATACCTACAGAATTGATAGACACTCACCGAGCGGGTGAGACGAGTAGTGGCGGGTGAGGCCGTTTGGGCCGGGTTAGGAGTAGCATAATTGTCATTTCTTGTTATTTCTCTGAAACTCATAAAAAAGAATTCAGAACGTTCATTTGGAATTAAGCAATAAGAATATCAAAATCCATAAATCTCTTCTTCTCTGTTCTTCACCAATTTCTCTCAATCACTAATCTCTACTTTTTTTATTTTCCCATCTCAATTTCTTTCCAGTTTCTACCAGCTGGATATTGTTTCTAGCGGCGGCTCCAAACCAAAATTCTCTTGTCCCGATTCTTTAATTGAGTTTAATCGGAAATATCTAACTCATACGAATTGTATTTTACATATCACAACTAATATAATTTTTAAATTGTCAACATTCAGCTTTACAATTTATAGCTCACTCGTCGACAATATTAACTACCCTAATCGAGGAAAAGGGTATCCTAGATTCGCAAAGTGGTATAGTGGTGATCGAGGTCATACTCCTTGGGAACTCTAGGTCTACTACTACTCTCAGCCTCGATCTACTATCTAGCCAAACGAGATAGTTGGGTTTTAAGTGTGAGCTAAACTAACCAAAGAAATTAAGAAACAAAAACTAACTACGTGGGAGATCACAAGAGAAAGGTTGTTGGTTAGGTTGAATCCCTCTAGTTATAGGTTAACATGGGATGAATGAAAGTGAATGAAGGATACCCTAACTTTTAAGTTGTGAAATATCACTTAGACTAGTGGTTGTTGGCTTGCTGCAATGGTCATGTCACATAAATCATAACCACATTTCTAGGTATCTATGTTAGCTTAATGGTCATATAACTAACTAGGTACCTAGAGCATTAGGTCTAGACTATAACTGGAGGGGTAGATAGATAGATAGATAGATAGATAGGTTGTCAATCATTCTTACATACAAACCCATAAACAATCTACAAGTTAGGATTCATCTTCCTAAACAACAAGAGAAACTAGAACATAGAGAGAGAAAAAAATAATACAAGTAGGAGGAAGAACACCAATATTGAGCTAGATCCATCTTATCCATCTTGGCTTGAGCAACCCTCTTGAATCTTGGGAGGGTTTAGGGTTATAATGAGGAAAAAATCACCAAAAACCTCTCAAAGCTCATCATTCTCACTCTACATCTCTATCCCTTTGTTTTCTCTCTCTATGACGCCTTTGTTTGCTCCAAAATGACCCCAACTACTTCTAGACTCATGCACAAGTCAAAATTCACAAAATCTCGTGAACTTCCACAAAAGGGGAAAAATCACTATCACATCTTGGAAAGTCAAGATTGTGACTTTTAGCCAGGACTTAGTTCAAGGGTGGCCTTTGACATTCATGGTCGTGAATTAATTCTCGCGGTTGAGGACTTGTTCTTGCAGTTTGGCCCTTTATGCTCACAAGGCTGGCAGTGAGATCTTCTAAACTCGACGTTACTAATGCACGACAGAGGAATGGATATTCGTGGTATGAGAAAACATTTTTCATGGTCTTGAATTGCATGTTGCGCGATCGTAAATTTGACCTTTAGCCCTCTTTCCACCTTCTTCTCACCCTTCAAATGACTTCCGATTAGCACAAAACTTGACATGCTGGTAGAACTGATATTAGGGTTCTGTCGGGAGTTGGCCGTGAGATCGGGAATTAGGGATTTAAGAACAAAATTAGGGATTTGAGAAGGGAGAGATAGAGAATCGGCCTAGGCCTTTAGAGGGTTTGAGAACGAGAATTGAGAGGATATGGAGATTAGGGTTTGAGAGAGATTTTCTTAATATTCTTCTTGTCTCCAGGAATGAAGGACCAATTACATATTTATAGCGAAGGACTAGAAAAACCTAATAGACTAACCTAATATGACTCAATGACTACTAACCATATATAATAATATCCTAATTATAGTAATTATAATAAAACCCAGAAATTGGTCCTCACCGGAGCAATCAAACTTCTCGTCAGTTTCATTTTTAATCAAGTGATCAGTGGCTGCCCGGCCGGCGGAGAGGATGCAAACGCTAATGGAAGGCTACCAGGCATCAAATCCTTTTCGTCCCTTCCATTTTTGCCATTGGTGATTGGATGCTCTTTTGCCTTCCCCTCCCCTTCCTTCACTGACTTAAATTCTCCTTTCTTTCTGAATTTACAACCAATTAATTGTAACAATAAGAGTGAATCCAAGAGCAACTTTGTCTCACCATTGAACGCAAACGGAACAAGGATGAAGATGGAACTTGTATCCGCCATCGGCTTGAGCTTAGGGTTGGCAGCGGCAGTGGGAACTCCTTGCCCAGCCTGGCCGCCATCTGCTCCTGCGTCGTTTGTCCTTGTCGCACCCCAATTCGGCGCGCAATCAACGCTTGCCTTCACCTGCTCCTCGCGGTGCGACCTTCCTCCACGACAGTTTGCCTTGTCCCCTGACTCACTTCTACTGTCACCCTAGGAATTGGCCAAGTGGAACCACTTCCTAAAGCGTAGTATAGCGGGTTAGGTTCATATGTCAACCCGGGTCCTAGATCTGATGACTACTCAGTGAGTTCTTGTTATCTAGCAATGAAACTGGAATGCAAGTCTAAGCTACCAAACAAACAAAGCAAGTAAACTGTTGTATTCAGGTTAAGAGAGGTCACCCGGATATGGTTCCTCCTAGACTGCAGTTAAGCCGGATTGTAATTACCAAGTTCAGTTTCTATGAAAGTTATACTGCAGGAGGTTCTTAAACAGCCTGAAGTCTCGACTAAAGGTCTTCAGACCCTCTCAATCTGAGTCTCTAGCGGGCGACTAACCTCCACCGGAGTAAACAGATTGAGGCCTTAACAAACAAAACCTCCACTACCGGAGTAAATCCGGTACAGAATAGTGAGTTGGCTCCTCGACTAAAGTCACCAACTCCCTACCTTCAATCAAGGATGCTCTATCAACCTAGGCAGATATTCTCATTCTAGGTTAAAGCAGAAACAACAGGAATTTGATCAGGATTCAAGTCATTCAATCATTAAAACCTCAATCGAATATAATCAATCATAGAATCAGTACTTGGGTTCATACAATCAAAGCCTAACATACAAATCTAGGGTTCTCCATACCCAGATGAATGGGAGAACTACTCCATGGAGAAGAAAGCAAAAGCAGAATCAGACATGGAATTCATACTGCGAAGGATGGATTCCTGCTACTGGACGTTGATTGGCACTTCTCCAAGCTCAAGCTGGCCTCCAATGGTGTTGAAGATCAATCTAGGGCACTTGGAAACTCTTGCTCGTCACTTTCTCTCTCTAGAAGTCGTTCTATCTCTCAAAAACTCGAATCCCCTTGAATTGTGGCTGAAAATCTGCTTAAAAGCATTAGTGGCCAAAGCACGGTCGAGGGCACGGCCGTGCTTTGCCTGACTCCGCCCGTGTCTCGGCCAAGGCTTAATTACACGGCCAGCAATTGGGAAGAAACACGGCCGTGCTTCGCGTTGGACACGGCCGTGCTTTTGTGGAACACGGCCGTGCTTTGAAACAGCCCTGCCCGTGTAATCAGCTCAGCTCTCGGCATAAAAAGCACGGCCATAGCAACACGGCCGTGTAATGCCTTAGGTGTGCCCGTGTTTTGGCCCCAGCTTGACGAAATGACCTCCGAATGCCCCGAAACTCGTGGTTAGCCTTCCCTTTGACGCGTGGGACCTGAAATATGACAAAATAGCACAACCCGGCGTAAAATAGGCCAAAACACATGACTATACTCCTCAAACGGATAAGAACTAGGGGCGCAAACATGTGCAATTACATCGTTATCAAATTCCCCCACACTTAACCGTTTGCTTGTCCTCAAGCAAACCAAGTCAGACACAAGGTAAGCTCAAAACAACAAGGCATGACATATCGGCACAAAATACGTGGATCATACTGGCTTTCGATCATTAACACATGGACAACCTCACTGACAACCTAGACAACCACCACAGATGACATTCGAATGCAGTAAAATCGAGCAAAGGAAGAGTCTCCCTTCTGTTCACCAACCAACATAGACTCGACTCAACCACTTGTTCAAAACAGTCACATCATGCACAAAGTTCAAGATATCAGAATTAAGACCGAGCAATCTAGGTCCTCACAGGGATAAAGAGTATAGAGAATAAGAGAAAATGAATCGCTCACTCTCGACCAGTGGGGTCAGGACAATATGATGCGAAAAATGCGCATGCTTAATCTCTCAATCCCTAACATCTCTTCACCATGAATGCAGCCTCTAAGTGCTAGAGTTCACATATGGGGTGTCATCACTAACTAATCCGGAGGTCTTAGACACAGGTTCGGATGACTGGCTAGGGTCCTGGACATGGGGAAAAGGCCTTTTAGGTGGTGGAAGTATTCATACAGCACAAGGTTCCACATTTCCAAACCCAACAGATTCACAATCAATCAAACCAATAACTTTCTTTCTGCTATTCTGCATTACTCAAGTTCAAAGCACAAGAGCGAAGAAGGTTACATAAATGCTAGTATTTCTAAGCCAGACTGCTAAGAAACACTACTACATGGGCATTATTCAGATTTTTGGTGGTGGCTCTCTTTTGCTTTCATTTTTTTTTTTCTTTGATTTTCTTTCATTTATTTTCATTTCCTAAGAGAACCACCACCTCTGCAAATTTTCAAACACCTGCCCAACTTTTAAGCACTACCTCCAACCCTCACATTACATTTAGCAGAAACAGCAGAGAACATGTAAAAATCACTCTGTGGAACCTTCTAAAAGATGCAAAAGGGTGACTTTTCATTGAAGACCGAAAGAAAGGGAAACACACGACTCAAAGGGGCTGACTAGGGGTATGACGCACTAGGACAGTCAATTTGGTCGTGGGCTAATCCTATGCCTCCATCATCTTAGCTAATGACAACGTGAATGCTGCACATCATGGAAGAGGAAACTATCGCACAAGAAAGAAACGAGCAGGCTCAAATCTCACATGGCTACCTATATGCTCTATCTCTCGTTCTGATTCCCTGAACTAGATGCATAACTGAATGTCGAAAGCAAGTGATCAAACCAAGTCACATTTGGTGGGCAAACAGTTGAGAAACTGAACTCCTACACAATTCTACTGCACATCTCAGTCATCACGATAAGTTGTCTAAGTCACATTCAAGTTGCCATGTATCAAGTCAAAAGCCATTCAATTTACTAATCACATCCACAGTGCCGATACGATCAATCATCAAGCAAACAGCCGTGCTTGGAGCCCTCAAATCTCAAGATTTGGACAGTGGACTAGGCTCCAAGCACACATATATACGTTCCAATTCATACAAAGAACCCCCCCACCCTTAAACGCGACAATGTCCTCAATGGAGCAGAGGGAAGGGGAACGATGTTACCGTGAAACAGTGGTCAGGAACGCTGACTGGATGGCGGACCAGTCAAAAGAAGGGGCACAGAGCTAGAGACAACAAAAACACACACTGGGTGATAGGAGTCAGAGTACCAAGTCTACAATCCGAGATAAAACAAAACAAAACGAAACCACAAAACACGGAGTCTCAGTCTGGAAAACAGATAAAGCACAAAACCCGCTCTAGAATGCATCACCACCATCGTCGGTAGGTGGAGGGTACTCATCCTCAAATCCCGGGGACTGCACGAACGGGTGGTGGACCGCGCTCGGGTCCAAGCCCAAGTAGGACATGATGTAGTGCTGCCCGGACAGGATACGACGCCCGCGGTCCCGCTCACGATCAAGGCGGGTGTGGAGGAGCTCCTGGCCGGCCAGGAGGCGCTCATTCTGTTGCGAGATCGCCGCCAACTGGTCGGAGATGGGCACCACCACTGGAGGAGGCGACCCTGGAGAAGGAGACCGGGGAGCAGGAGAGGGGCTCACGGGAGCCTGGCCACGCCGGGGAACGCGACGTCGACCTCGGCGCCCACCAGCGGCGCTCGACTCGGCCTGGTCACCCTCTGCAAGAGGAGGTGGCTGAGGAAGGCCTTCGATCCATCGCTGACGCCCGTGGCGAGCAAGCAAGTGCTGGTGGTGAAGAGTAGCCTCGCTGAATGGGGACGGCCCGCGCACCACAGTCATCCCCGTGTAATCCACCCCGTACTTGCGGGCCAGGGTGGTGATCACCGGGCCACAAACGAGGGCGCGAGTCGTGCTGATGGCTAGTTTCGTGAATGTCCTCGCCAGTACAGAGCCCAGCTGGATGGTGTCCTCAGAACGACCCATCGCATGCATCAACCAGAGTGTGCGGAGCGTGACCCGGTTGGCCGAGCCTGCGCTGGGTGTGTAGGAAGTGCACATCAGGTGGTTGAGGATCCGCCACTCCGGACGGAGGAGAGAAGCCCGCGTCTGGCTGGCCACGTACTGTTCATCCACACTGTCGGGCAGGCAGATGCTCTGAAAGTACGCCTGAGAAGGGAAGTCCGTGGGATCAGCGAGATCAAGGCGGTCGAGGGCACGGCCGTGCTTTGGCTACTGATGCTTTTAAGCAGATTTTCAGCCACAATTCAAGGGGATTCGAGTTTTTGAGAGATAGAACGACTTCTAGAGAGAGAAAGTGACAAGCAAGAGTTTCCAAGTGCCCTAGATTGATCTTCAACACCATTGGAGGCCAGCTTGAGCTTGGAGAAGTGCCAATCAACGTCCAGAAGCAGGAATCCATCCTTCGCAGTATGAATTCCGTGTCTGATTCTGCTTTTGCTTTCTTCTCCATGGAGTAGTTCTCCCATTCATCTGGGTATGGAGAACCCTAGATTTGTATGTTAGGCTTTGATTGTATGAACCCAAGTACTGATTCTATGATTGATTATATTCGATTGAGGTTTTAATGATTGAATGACTTGAATCCTGATCAAATTCCTGTTGTTTCTGCTTTAACCTAGAATGAGAATATCTGCCTAGGTTAATAGAGTATCCTTGATTGAAGGTAGGGAGTTGGTGACTTTAGTCGAGGAGCCAACTCACTATTCTGTACCGGATTTACTCCGGTAGTGGAGGTTTTGTTCTTAGGGCCTCAATCTGTTTACTCCGGTGGAGGTTAGTCGCCCGCTAGAGATTCAGATTGAGAGGGTCTGAAGACCTTTAGTCGAGACTTCAGGCTGTTTAAGAACCTTCCGCAGTATAACTATCATAGAAACTGAACTTGGTAATTACAATCTGGCTTAACTGCAGTCTAGGGGGAACCATATCCGGGTGACCTCTTTAACCTGAATACAACTGTTTACTTGCTTTGTTAGTTTGATAGTTTAGACTTGCATTCCAGTTTCATTGCTAGATAACAAGAATTCACTGAGTAGTCATCATATCTAGGACCCGGGTTGATAATTAAACCCAAACCCGCTATACTACTCCGCCCGTGTCTCGGCCAAGGCTTGATTACACGGCCAGCAATTGGGAAGAAACACGGCCGTGCTTCGCGTTGGACACGGCCGTGCTTTTGTGGAACACGGCCGTGCTTTGAAACAGCCCTGCCCGTGTAATCAGCTCAGCTCTCGGCATAAAAAGCACGGCCATAGGAACTCGGCCGTGTAATGCCTTAAGTGTGCCCGTGTTTTGGCCCCAGCTTGACGAAATGACCTCCGAATGCCCCGAAACTCGTGGTTAGCCTTCCCTTTGACGCCTGGGACCTGAAATATGACAAAATAGCACAACCCGGCGTAAAATAGGCCAAAACACACGACTATACTCCTCAAACGGATAAGAACTAGGGGCGCAAACATGTGCAATTACATCGTTATCATCCCCGACCTCTTCCTGTCTCCAGTCACACCCTGCCATGACTCCTTCTTCTCTAGTTTTGCCGGCAACTCTTCCTTCTTCTTCTCCTGAAGTGTTGCCGGCTCTTCCTCCACCTCGGCGATCAACTGTCTCAGACGGTGGCGCAAGCTCCTTCCCAACATTGCGGCTCGGTCGCGCACCGGAGAGCGCCACCCGCATCTCCTCATTGCCGTCTGCAGCCTCCTCCGCCACGTTTGGTGAGACGCGCCGCCCAACCGGTGCCTCGGCCCGTGGCGTCCCCCTTGGCGCGGCACCACTGCGACCGCGCCACCCCTGTGCCCTCGGCCAGCGACCGCCGCGGCCCGCCGTCAGCCGCCCAGGTCCCCACCACCTCCTCCTGTCGTGTCGTCTCGCCCGCCGCGACACCATGGTCGCGCGTCAGCGTCGGCCGCCTCGGCTGGCCTTCCGCCACCACCTGCGGTGCCGCGCGCTGCCTCATCGCCGCGACAGTCACTAGTTCCCGGCCTTGTGCACGCGCGGTTTGCGCTTGGGCAGCCCTGATTGCGTCAAACTGTTGCTTCACAAAGGTCCATTCCTTATCAGAGAGCCATATCGAGCTCATTGCAGGCTCTGATACCAAATGATAGAACCTGATATTAGGGTTCTGTCGGGAGTTGGTCGTGAGATTGGGAATTAGGGATTTCAGTACAAAATTAGGGATTTGAGAAGGGAGAGATAGAGAATCGGCCTAGGCCTTTAGAAGGTTTGAGAACGAGAATTGAGAGGATAGGGAGATTAGGGTTTGAGAGAGATTTTCTTAATATTCTTCTTGTCTCCAGGAATGAAGGACCAATTACATATTTATAGTGAAGGACTAGAAAAACCTAATAGACAAACCTAATATGACTCAATGACTACTAACCATATCTAAGAATATCCTAATTATAGTAATTATGATAATTATGATAAAACCCGGAAATTGGGTTTCTATCACATGCCCCTTCTATATCATGCTAGAATTTGAGATTATGAAAGACAACACAACCTAGTCTAGAGTAGGATCAGAATGAACAATTTACGAGGCAAAATGGCCAAGAAACAATAAAGTCATACTTAATTAGCTTAGGGTATTAAGATATGAAGCGAATATTGCATGAAATCAACCAAAATGGGCAAAGTATGTTGATTATGGCATTCAAACACCTACAAGTAGGAGGTTAATAACACTAGTTTTAGGTGTTGTCGCTTTTTAACAACCATAATGGTCACTAAGTTTACCATTTTGTGTTACATTTGCCCTTGGAAAATTTTAATTTCATTCGCGGTCACTAACTTTATATTTTCGTTCACCACTGTTCACTCTCTGTACAACTTCATTATATTTATCCAATCTGGCAATCGACTCTCACATTTGACAGTTAAAAAATAAAAATTAATTATTTTAAGTTTTCACTTCACAAATGCAATTGATAAAAAACCATAAAAAGATTATTTTTATTTTCCTCCACCATACACATATGAAAATAACCAATCGTTATTTATGACACAATATGAAACAAGCACTCTTCAAATTGAATTATACAATTCATCCTATTGCAAACAACATGTTCGAGGAAATATCCAAATTAAAACACCTCTCTAGGAAATAGGAATAGCTAATACTATAAGTGAAATAGATTAACTTCCTGTATCTTCAGCCAAACCAGGTGTTTCAGTGCCCAAAGGGAATATAAGAGAGACATAAATATCATCAATGATGACTTTAACATGAAGCGCTTATGTCATGCATGAGAGCTCTAATTTACTAGCGGAATAAGTCGTGTATCCGTACACTCCCACTTGAAAAATCAGCAATTCAGCGACAAAGAAACCAAATAATTCCTTGGTTAACCATCGTAACTACTTGGCTGGCTTGCGGCGACATGAGAGCAATAGGTATATAGCAGCTTTCACGACATTGAAGCGCCCCCACCAAATTGACGTCCATCATGAATTAGGCCTTGCTCATTCCTGCTTCTCCAGCTCCTCGCAGACAAAAATTTCTTGATTCACGATCAGGACGACTCCGTTGCCTTCTTCACGACATCAAAATCTCTAACACCCACGGCGTAAATACAATTGAGTCCAGAATCTGTTTCTTCACAAAATGCTTAGGGAATGATTTGGGCTGGTTGGTCCATGTAGGTAATGTGAGTAGAAATGAGAAAATAGATGCTCTGTTTTTCCAGGGAGGCGAGGTATACGGAAAATATTTTAAAATATTTAATGATTTTTGGGTATTTTTAAATGTGGGATAGAAAATTAAAATTTTGATTTAATTTTTTAAATTTTAATTAACAAGTCATTAATCTAACGATCAAATATGAGAGGTGACTATCAAATAGGATAAAAATAACAAAAATGGACGGAAAATGACCATGAATGAAACAAAAATATAATTCTAATAACTAGGGATTTTTCCAATAATAGCACCTTTTAAAAAAAAATTACAAAAATAGCACCCAGCCCATAAAAATTACAAAAATAGCACCATTTTAAAGAAACCGCACCTCCAAGGTGCGTTTTATAAATAAACCGCACCCTCCAGGTGTGTTTTATTTATAAACTGCACCTTGGAGGTGCGGTCCGTGCCACATCAGCTAGGGAACCGCACTAGGAAGCAACGATTTGTGTTTCCTCCGGAGCAGCCTTCAAGACCGTTGGATAAAGCGGCGATCCAACGGTGGACCGCACGCCACCTCAGCGATTCGCGCAATGGATTGAAGACCGCAACTGGCAGGTGCAGTCAGCGCCTCGAGAAACGGAAAACGCATCGAGAGGGTGTGGTTTCATTGTGGTCAAAATTACCAGACCGCCCTTGGAGGGTGCGGTCTGAATAGTATAAATACCCCCTCTCATTTCTTCACACCACAACCCATGCTTCACTCTCTCTCTCTCTCTAAAATTATCTCTCTATCCCCTCCCCTCCCAAAAGCCTAGAAAATAGTTGTATGTTGGTTGCGGCTAAGTCTGGTCTGCCATCAGAAAACATTTCTTTAGTTTTTCCCTCAAAACCCGCCGAATTTCTGTCCGACTTTCGCGAAAAAATGGACGAGTGGTTCCAAGGAGAGGGAGTTTATTATGATGAATTTCAAGTGGTACGTACTCATTATTCTGGTCAATTTTTGTTGTGTTTATAAGCTTTTTAATTATTATATGTACTAACCTTGGTGTTATTCTATCGTAGGTTGGGGACGACGTGGATATATACAACCAACGTTATTAATTGGATTAAGGACCTATTGATCCAACCGACTTGTACGACCAACCCAACCATCGTTCAATGGATGTTGGGAACGATCACGAGGTACATACAATTCTTCATCATTTGTCTTTCTTTTATTTTACAAATGTACTTAGTGGAATATAAAATAAATTTGAAATAATTTAATCGTATTGGTTGTTTTCAATAATTTAATCGAATACATAGCGCAACTTACTTAGACTCTTTATAAAGAGATGCACTGATAGACCATTGATTACACATGTTTTTACCCCTATCCTTGAGCTGTTTGAGATGTCGATTCTCGCTTTTTAGGCCGATTTCACGCTAGGTTGTTCTTGTTTGTGATATTTCAGGTCCTAGTACGTGAATGAAGGTTTAGGAACGAGTTTGGGGTCGATTGGACGAAGTTTGGACGTTTGGCGAGAAGCTGAGAAGCCACACGGGCATGCCTAAAAGCCACACGGCCGTGTAGGGGACCCCTGATGGCCGTGTGGAAATTCCAGGGAACTCACACGGGCACCCTGGGAAGCCACACGGCCGTGTGGGTCGTGGCCGTGTAGGAAGCCTGAAGCCACTTATCAAAACGCTGCGGTTTGCACAACTCACACGGGCAGCTGGGGATGTCACACGGTCGTGTGGCCTGGCCGTGTGAGTAGGGATTTTCTGGTTTTAAGCCAATTTTTAGCAGAGGAGAAGAGAGTTTGGAGTTTTAGAGAAAGAAAGCAATTCCTAGAGAGAGAGAGAGAGAGAGCGACGAACCAGAGTTCCCAAGTGCCCTAGCTTGATCTTCATCACAATTGGAGCTCGGCTTACACTTGGAGAAGTGTCGATTGACGACCAGGAGCAGATTCTCATCCTTCACAACATGATTTCTGCATCTGAACCTGCTTTTGCTTCTCTCTCCATGGAGTAGTTTTCCCATTCATCTGGGTATGGAGAACCCTAGATTTGTGTGTTAGGTCTGATTGTGTGAACCCAAGTACAGATTCTATGATTTGATTATATTCAATTGAGGCTTGAATGGTTGAATGACTTGAATCCTGATCAAATTCCTATTATTTCTGCTTTAGCCTAGAAAGAGAATATCTACCTAGGTTGATAGAGCACCCTTAATTGAAGGTAGAGAATTGGCGACTTTATTCGAGGAGCCAATTCACTATTTTGTACCGAATTTACTTCGGTAGTGGAGGTTTGGTTCGTTAGGGCCTCAATCTGTTTACTCCGGTGAGGTTAGTCGCCCGCTGGGGACTCAGATTGAGAGGGTTTGGAGACCTTTAGTCGAGACTTCAGACTGCTTAAGAACCTCCCGCAGTATAACTATCATTAAAACTGAACTTGGTAAATTGCAATCCGGCTTAACTGCAGTCTAGGGGGAACCATATCCGGGTGACCTCTCTCGACTCGAAACAACCGTTTAATTGCTTTGCTTGTTTGCTTAATTGAACCTGCACTAAAGTTTCACTGCTAGATAATAAGAATTCACTGAGTAGTCATCACATCTAGGACCCAGGTTGACAATAAAACCCAAACCCGCTATACTACGCTCTAGGAAGTGGTTACACTTGGCCATTTTCTAGGATGACAGTAGGAGTGAGTCATGCACGTATAAGGAAATGAGGTTTTAAGCGATTATCATGATCCTCCCATGTCTTGGGAAAATCAGGTATTAAGAGATCCTCGGATTCCCCCTTTTTCTGTCAAAAAGGCTGTGTTTCTAAGAAGATGTATACCTCTTCTAAGAGTCTAACGAGTGTTGCATTGTATTCGATTAAATTATTTAAAACAACCAATACGATTAAATTATTTACCAAACAATCAATACGATTTATGTTTATGTGTACTTAAATGAATTTTATCAATTTCAAATGTTTGAATATGTATGTATCTCTTTAAATTATTATTCATTTAGAATGTTCTTTATGTCAATTAATTGAGTATGTTTGTTTTATGATAATATGTAAATATCTTGGAAAAACCCATCAATTACTTAAACTTGATTGTTAATAATATAATTATAATAAATTATGGTCGAAATTAAATCATTAATTTTAATTAATTTAGTTATAAGACTAAACTGTTACTAATATATCATAAATAACATTGAAATTTTTGCTAGGAGGCACAACAAATACTCCGCTACAGGGGTACGACCAATGTGCTCCTATGGAATCCAGTTATCTTGCCCTTTCTCAAAAGGACACGGTTGGAGTCGATTAGGCATTTTGTAGGCATAAAATTCGATCGCCAACTCATCACCGCATTGGTGGAGAGATGGAGAAAGGAGACACATTGTTTCAACTTTCGCGCAGGAGAGTGCACCATCACGCTAAATGACGTCGCCATCCTAACCCATCTGCCCATCGACGGCAAAGCGGTGTGTGTGAGTGATCATCCCCCCAAGGATCGTGATGGTATGACCGGTTGGCAGCATTTTATCCACAGTGTTTTGGGGGTGAAAGTACCAATCAAGGGGAGCGTTGATGCGACAGATCGCTTGCCACCATTGAGGAAACACCAACTATCAGTCACTTGGTTGACGAAGTATTTTAGGGACCTTCACAATCCTGCCAAAGATGGGGTGCCCCTAACCGAGGAAAGTCCGGAGCTAGAGAAGGAAAGATATGCTCGTGTCTATCTCATAGGCATGATAGGAGTGTTCTTCTCCAAAAAAATCGAGCAATTTAATTAGTTGTGGATGGCTTAGGATCCTCTTTGGTAGTTGGGATGAGATGGGGGAGTTGAACTGGGCATCCGCTTGCCTAGCTAATATCTACCACCATTTGTGCAATGCATCTCTCAAAGCTGTGAGGGAGGTCGACGGCGCAATGTTCATCCTCCAATTTTGGGCTTGGGAGCATCTGCCATGGATTGCACCGCTCAAATGTCCCGAAAAGAATTGGGGTCCCGATCATCCCCTAAGAAACGAAGCTTATGGTTGTAGGTAAACTTCTCATACCCCATCATGATTTTAATAACACAATTTTCCTTATGTTTTAGCTTATTGTAGTTTTATTATTGTCTTATTAATAAGGTGGGTTGGAGCCTCAACATGCGACAACCTTACCCAACACAAGTTGGTAGAGTATCGGAGGAGGCTAGAGCGACTTTGGGAAGGAGAGGTAACTAGAATACTTCGAAGTGCTATAACTTTTTTTCATGGAGTACATGTATTTCCAATTATGTTTAACTTAAGTTACTCATTTCTTTGTAGATAAAATTCGATCCATACCCGGAAAACATCGTTCATTGGCATTTACAGCAATTCCCTGGTCATATCGGGCAATGGTGCACGAGGGTCCCTCTCATTTGTTTAGGGACCGTGGAGTGGCACCTGCCGGATCAATGCCTCCGTCAGTTTGGTCGGGAGCAGTGCATTTCGTTGGAGGTCCCCGAGAGTCAAAGGACGTTTCACCACCGAGATCGTCGGCAAGGTACTCACGATTGGCCCACGAAGTTGGCGGCAATGATCACGATATGGGAGAACCGACAACTTCAGGAGATTGTCATTCCAACAAATGTGGGTCGAATGGGGTATCATGATCCATACATGGATAGATATTGGCAAACATCGGTTCGGTACGTGACTCCGGAGGGTGCGGCCGATGGTGCATTGGTAAGTATATTCCGTCTAAACAATTAAATTTATTGCTTGTTTCATGGAGACACATCATTAGTCTTATCTTGCTAACCTTTTTATGTTATTTAGGCTGATGGGATCGAGCGGATCAAAGATTTGACCCATGGGAAAAATGAAATGGGCAGTGAAGATGTGAGCTTCATCAGGAGGATGACAAACAGTCTGCTTGGCTGTATCAGAGCATAGGGTCGTGATCATCGTAGATACCCACCCATGCCCGCACTGGTGCCACCTCCGGTACAAGTTGATGTCCCCCACCCCCCACCACCATACGAGAGAACGAAAAGCAAGAAGGTTCGGGAAAGACCCAATGTGCCCGAGATAAGGCTGTTGGAGGCGTGGAGAGTGTCGCCCCCTTGGTTGTGGCACACGGTGGCGGTCCGAGCTCACATCAAGATCCCCGCCCGAGCCACTCCTATATGATCCCCGCTCGATCTCATACCATGATCCCCGCCCACCATACTATGATCCTCGCCCCCCATACTATGATCCTCGGCCGATCTACCCCCACCGCCCCAACTTCTTCAACGGACCCCCTACATCCTCGGGTACTTGGCATGATGGTTCCTCCACGACTACGCATCATGACTTCAATCCTATTCCTCGCCCTCATCAGCCGTGGCCTCCTACCCCTCATCGTATGAGCGTGGATGTCCCCCGCTCGACCCCGAAAGCACCGCCTACCACGGATCGACGCCGACACAGCACCGACGAGCGCCCTAACATGACCCATCAAAACTTGCCACTGCAACCACCGATGGTTACTCCCGTCGGCCGTCGTACAAGGAGCAAGAAAACTTTGCAACCCCATGAGTCCCACGGACTTCCTTGAGATGTATTTTTAGTTTATCATTTTAAGTGTTGTTTTTAGTTATGTTTTAATTATATGTACTTGAAACCCTTCTTCCTATTTTAGTTTATTTAATTGAGAGTTGTTATAATTTTTTTTAGTTCTATGTACTTGGCTTTCTCCATTTTTTTCGTGTTAAGTTAAGGCTTGAGTGTTAATTGAGGGTTATTTGCCAAACACGCAAGTTCTACGCATCATAGCTCTAACTCCGACCACAAGTGAAAACATACATAACAATTACTAACAAATGATAACCATAAACTATGTTGCATTATCTGGGTCCCCCACATCAGGACCTGGATTTTGCGGACCAATCGGACCTGGACAACTTCGTTTATCATGCCCTGGAACTCTGCATACTGAACATCGTCTTGGGCCTCGTGGTGATCTTCCACTTTGATCCATTTTGTTCTGAATTCTCTTTTTCCTCGGCCGACCCGGTTCACGCCTTTGTCCGAACGGCGGGATGATCAACTTGCCTTCGTACACCGGCCAATAAGCTTCATCAGGCAATGCACGGAAACTCCGTCCATAGCAATTTTTGAGTGAGTCGATATTGAAGAATGGACTGGCGAAGTGACGAGCGTCTTTGCTCCTGTTTTTAATTACGACCATTGCATGAGAACATGGCCACCCTCTCCCCTGATACTTCTAGCATGAGCACTCACTAAGTTTTGTCCTGAAATTGACCAAAACTTCATGGCGATGGCCCCCGCGTCTACCATCCTCGCGATGTCCGGTCGTCACGCTAAACTCGTTATTTGCCCTATTCATAACGGTTACACTGTGTCTCTTTAGAAAGAGTCTAACAAGTGTAACATTGAATTTGATATAAGATATTGTTATTTGAAAAAATTAAACAACCAATAGAGAGCTTACCAATCCACCACAAATTATCAGCAAGCTTCTTTCGCTTGAAATGATGGTTCCAGTTGCTTTTGGAGTGTCGTATGCACCACCTTTGGGACCACTTCAAAGCTGGATCCAAACCTAAGATGGCAGCTCTAATGTCGGCGTGCCGATCAGATATTATTGTCAGGTTCGTCCTCCTAGTCAATGCAGTCAAAATCGCGCTTTAAAACTTAAAAACTTACGGTTTTACGCTTCTAGGACACCAAAACACTTTTGTTTCCATATAAAATATTAAGTGTATAAAATCGGGACTAACAGGCGCTTTAAAGCTTAAAAGCTTACGCTTTTACGCTTCTTGTTCACTAAAACGTTTTACGCTTTTACGCTTCTAGTTCACTAAAGGAGTATTCTATTCATGAAAATACTTATATTTTAAAGGTAAATCACAAAAATATGATATATTTGATATTAAAGATACATATCAAGTACTTGGGTGCATTCTTAGTTTCAATAGAGTAATCTAATTCACCAACTAGGCCCTTCCCAAATTCACTAGCATAAAGGGGAATGTAGCTTATTGTTAAGATATATGTTTTATGAACTTATTGTTAAAATGTTATGAGTTTCTCAACTTTAGACATGAATTACAAGTATTTATTAACTTATATTTTATCGTACTTAACACATTTTTCGTTATATTAAAGTTAGCGCCAAAAACTTACGTTTTTACGCTTTGATTCTACGCTTTACGATTTTACCCATTTTCCGCTTCTAGGTAGAATCGCGCTTTTGACTGCATTGCTCCTAGTGACGTGGAGCTGAATTTACCGGAAAAACTATCCATAGCTATCAACATTCTCTCCCTCGACAATGGCGAAGGCTAAAGGAAAGACTTGTCTATTTGCATCCGCCCCACTGGCAATAAGGAGAGTGCCCTTGTACTTGCCGGTAAGGAATGTACCATCCACTTGGATCACAGGGACACAAAAGCCAAAACCATCAATAGATGGCTTGAATGCCCAGAAAAGTCGTCTGAAATGGCGTTTGTTACCTGGCTCCGGCGATTGTATCTCTTCATCTTGGTATCGAGGGGAGAAAACAGTGCCAGGTTTAGACGCTTCTAATGCCAAAATCAACCTGGGAAGGAATGCATATGATTCTTCCCAATCACCAAATACGCCGGCCAGAGCTTTCTGCTTTCCATGCCACGCCTTCTTATAGTTAATCATATAACCATAACGACTTGCAATGTCAGCGATTATGACTTTCACCTTCAGGTCAGGATCGTGCTCAATTAGATTCTTGATAGCCACAACAACCATCATGGATTTCAACTGTCGATGGCCTTGGGATGTAATGGATCACACATGTGTGTGTGTTCACCGCACGAGATATGACCCAATGGCCGTGTCTCTTGTTGTTGATGACCCGAATCCTAATATTGCATCCCTCGTTATGATTACGGCATCTGACTATGAGCCTTTTAGTGTTGGAATGAGTTGTGTGCCATTCAAAATGCCGAGTCATTGCTTCAGTATCAATGGCGTGCCGCACCTCCTTCGAGCCAAATTGTTGGCCCTTCATAAACCCAGTGACTGGACCCCATACTGGAACCTCTGGGGTCCATGTCGCTGTCGACCATCTAATTGTTGTCTAGAATGTGATTGTAGTAGGGAACTGGTACACGGTCATGAGCCACCTCATCATCATTATCTGAGTCTGACTTTGGTCCAGAATAATCAACACCTTCAAGAGGGTCGGAGCTGTCTGCACTGATGTTGTTCTCTCCTTCTTCATCGGAGGGGTCACTAACTGGTGCTGGCAGGACATCTTCCATCTGATCCAGCTCATGAAAGGCACCTTCATCAGCTCCATAATGGTAGTTGTGAAAACTACCGTTGCCTGATTGGAAGTTGTACTGGGGTTGGTTGGCATGGTCCGGTTGAACTTCTTCTTCATATGACGGGAAAGATTAATGATGACCTTCACCTTGCTCTTGGTACTGAAAATAGGAATGAGGATCATGGTAACTTTGGTAGGGATGATCTCCATATAATTCACCTCCACCATGGATACCAGATGTTTGACCGTCTCCAGAATGACCTCCAACGACTACGACCGCCTCGGTGTAAACGAACATCTCGACTTTGGAAAGATTGTTGGACCTCAAGAATTCGAGCATGACATCTACTTCATCCTGAGTGGTTATGAGATATTCCTCGTGCCACAACGACCCCCCTTCTCTGTTTGGATATCGGTACACCATACGATCAACTCTTCTCGTGCCATCCATGCAAGTAACGTTAGTACACATTTGATAGAGGTCTTCAAGCATCGGTCTGGTAGCGACCTTTATTTTATGAAAATTGCCACCAACGTAGGTGATCCCCTTTCCGGTCTCTTCCGTGTAACCATTCCACCGTAATCCAAGCGTGAACTTTTGGAATGCCATCTGCAACAAAACCGTAGTTTAGTTAATATCATAAAAATCACAAATCACAATAAAAAGTAATACAAAATAAACTTAACGTTAACCGCAAAAACACTAAAGAAGTAGAGAGCTACAACAGAAAATTGAAAAGGGAGAATGAGAGGTGTGAAGAGAAGAGGTTGTTTCCCGGGCTGTTTTTATAGGCAAAATCATCAATGAAAATCGCATGGGGAGGGTGCGGTTTTCATCTGCCATGCAGCCCCACGTCTGTCAACCTACATGGCAACATGTTTGATGTCGGAAAAATAATTACGACACACAAACTGCATGGGGGGGGGGGGTGTGGTTTTGCTAGGACAGCCCAAGAACCGCACCTTGGGCGTGTGGTTTACATATAAATCACACCAGGAGCGTGCGTTTCACAATCAAACCGCACCATAGAGGTGCGGTTTTTAAAAATAGATACTATTTTTGTAATTTTTATGGGCTGTGTGCTATTTTTGTATTTTTTTTTAAATGCTATTTCTGAAAAAATTCCTAATAACTAATGTAATTAAAATCTTCTAGTGATAAAAGTGAAACGAAATGATAAACCCAATAAATGAACATACTATCTGCACCTAGTTCCTCCACACGCTCCCTTAGATTTGGCGATTAAAATTGACGGTTCAGATAAAGTTAGCCATTTGACTTTAGCTACAGTCACATGATCTTAGAGGGTTCATTTTGGAAACTCTCTCTCTCTCTCCTTCCTACTCGCGTTTTACTTCTTTGTTTCGACATACATTATATCGCATATTCTTCTCCGGCTGTCCGATCTCTCTTCTCTTGGCTCCGTTTCTTCTGTTGTTGCTAACTACTGTTTAATCTCTTCTTGTCTCTACCAGACAACCAGAATTTTGACTGCTGTAGACTATTTTGAGCTCAAGCTGAAGCTCCGAGCAGATGTTCTTCGCTCGCTGCTTGCTTTTCTTATCTGCTTCCTTCAAGGATCGCCTCCGTCGCCGGTGAGTTAGGGTTTTCTCTGGCTCAACTCTCAGGCAATCCTTGCTTCTCGCCTTCCTCGTACTTTCCTTGTTCCTGGCTCATTTTTTCTCCTGCAATTTGAAATCTGCCCTCTCCCCATCTCTTTCCTGTCTTTCTTCATTTCTATTTTCTCCGAACCACAATTTCCCTCTTTCCCTCTCTTTCTCCTCTTCACTGCTGGCCAGTTCAGCTATCGATCTCTGTAATTTTACCTTTCCGCGACCACTTTGGGTTTCTCCTGCTGAATTCTCTCAGTTTCTTGATAGTTGCCCTCCCCACATCTTCTTTCCAAACTGACTGTGCTAGCTTTAGGTTTTCTGTCTGAAGGAAGTGGAGAGTTTTGTTGTAACATGTATTTTTAGAATGGTGTATTAGGTGTGATTTAAGTTGTTGTTGCAGTGCTACGATATGGGATTTGTTTACTTGTAAATTTGGGACGACGTGGTTAGGTTTTAAGTTAGTTGCTGTTAGTTCCTAGTGGTGTGGAGAAGACAAATACTTGTATGCAACCCTAGGGTTTCTGCTCCCTGGGGTAAGAGAAATGTTTTATTCCCAGTTCATACTGGCCAAGAAAGGGCCTTTGGGTACGATATGGATAGCCGCTCATTTGGAAAGGAAGCTGCGGAAGAATCAGGTTGCAGATACTGATATTGGTGTCTCTGTTGGTGAGTTTTCAATATTTCCCATCTTACTTGCATTTTTCAGACTCTGTTCCTTAAGAATTTATTAAAGATGACAATAAGGAAGCACGATTACTACGAGTAGACGTGAGCGATTGATTTGGAAAAAGGCGTTAGTTTTGAAGAGTTTATTGGTTTGGTAAGGAAACTCACGTTCTTGGTGCAATAACTTCCTCAATGTCGAAAAAAAATACTGTTCCGGTGACTAGTTAGTTTGAAATGTTTTACTTTTATGTCCTTTTCTTAGAGACTACTGAACTCTGCGATAGTATCTTATCAGAAATTGGTGATTTTATAAGCATTGATTTAATCTTCTTATGTGTTTCTTTCTTTCTCTTTTCTCCTTTTCGGCATTGTCATTTACTATTTGCTGAACAGCTGGAGTTAGTCACTAGCAAGCAAATCTGTTTTACTTTCTTCTTCTCCTCTCTCAATGTAAGCATGTTTGTATCACACCAGTTCAGGATGAAAAGCATTTGTCAGCAGTGACGAGTATATGGTAGCTTCAGTTAATTAATGTGATTGATATTGCCTATTTATTTCTTCAGTAGTTGAAGGGGTCAGGGATTGGATCCTTGACCAGAGATCTTAGTTGGGATTGAATCCTTGACCAGAGATCTTCAAGAAAAAGGAAAGAATCTTGTAGCCATTCTAGCTCTTCAGGATCTTTTGAGCATATTAATTTACGGTCTAATTGTTGACAGTGTTGTTTATCTTAAATGCCAAGTTGCCTTATGTAGTACTGAAGCACACTAGGTCAACAAAAAAAAAAAAAAAAAAAAGATGGTATCAAGGCCACTGGTAGCGAATCTATTTTCATAACTTCATAACTGGAGTAAATGTTGTACCTGCTAGTTGCTAAACTCTATTGGACTGTTTTACACAATGTAGCGCATCATGATAAGAACTCTATCATAAATCTACTATTACTTACCAAGTATTTAGGATAGACTGTTCCATTATTAACGATTTTTGCCGTCTTCCGCAGATTCAATTCTGTTCCCTGAAGTACCAATTGCACTAAGGCTTTCCAGTCATCTTCTGCTTGGTGTGGTGAGGATATACAATAGGAAGGTGAATTACCTTTTCGATGATTGCAGTGAGGCTTTGCTAAAGATAAAGCAAGCTTTTCGGTCCACTGCAGTTGATTTGCCACCTGAAGAGTCAACTGCTCCATATCACTCCATCACCTTGCCCGAGACTTTTGATCTTGATGATTTCGAACTTCCAGATAATGATATTCTCCAGGGGTTAGTTCCAGACTTTCACAGAAAATGATATAATTTATTGTTAGTGTTTATACCTGAAAATATCATCAGATATATGATAATTTGGATCTCTTTGTTGCCATTAGGTCCTGGATCAACATTGATGTTAGTCTGATTATAATTATGGTAGATACCTTAATATATAACGGGTCTATTTTAATGCCAAACTGATTGTGGAATTTATGCATTTGTTTTGATAATTTTTGTGAGTTTATGTTACTCTATTGACTTTCAAAGATTGTTTATATGTTTCAGTAATTTTGTCGATCATCACATTAGTTCAAGGGAGCAAATTACCCTTCAAGACACTATGGAGGGTGTGGTTTATACCACATCTCAGTTTGGATTGGATGGTTCGTATCTGCCTTTCCGACCATTTGTGATGTTGCTCGCCGTGGCAAAATGTGTTGCTCTAATGCATGCTCCTAAAATCGTTATTAAATTTAGTGTGTTTTGGTTTCAGAGCGATTTGGTGATGGTGATACCTCACAAGTTGGTTTGGAGCTTGAAGAGGTAATTGTGTACTGCATGCTCGCACATACTTATATAGTTTCGTAAATATGGATGTGTTTTTTTTAATATTTTATTGTTGTTAAACTGGTCATTCATTCTGGATCTCAGTTCTCGACAACCAGACATGAGGCTTATGAATAATTGTAGGAAAGACAATCTATTTCCATGGCAAGGTTTCATTTGTTTGTATTTGAAAGATTTGGAGCTTTATAAATTTCTCTACTTCTCCTGACAATGTAACGAGTTTTGTGCTTCTTTTATTTCTCGCTAGCTGTCATTCCCCCTACATTAACTATGTGCGCACTTATTCTCATTGTGAGGTTCTAGTGCTTTTATAATTCTGGTTCTGCTCACTTTCTTTCTGTTTGGTAATGTTATACTTTTTAATTCGTGCACAGGAATTGTTCCTTAACAATGCCGCAGCTTCAGAGACCAATGAGGTTTCAGAGTAGGACATTTTATCTATATCTCATTACATTCATCTCTTTGAGCACATACGACAGTTGATGAGTTCATTCCATTATCCAGTTGATTTTTAAGTAATTGTAGGTTGTCTGGTAGAACTTTTCTTGTGTTTTCGTTTGTTGTTTAGGTTCCATGAGAAGTGGGTTACCAGTTTGTGGAGTGTTTAGCTTAATCCAGTGGTTAGCTAGGATTAGTTTTCCAGCTGTTAAGTTTTTTATTCATGTCTTGCTGAGTTTTGGATTGCTTGCATTTTTCTATTATGGAAAAACTCTTCGAAGATTTCATAATTGGTTCTTGCAGGATGTAGACATATCAAATTGCTAGGTTAAGGACCTTAGCAGTGTCTATGCCATCTAGATCTACTTAAGTTAACTACTGATGATTTCATTGTATGAATTTATATAATCACACACAGCGCTGATAGATTAATCTTTCTTCTTTGTTGCAGAGTTGATCCTAGGACGTTGATTGATGTTACAGAAGAACCAGAAAGAGGTGAAAGGGACTTCAGAGCTGCGACATCCTCTGCATCAGTTCCTGTGAATGGTAGTGGAAACAAGGTTGAAATTGCGTTCCAAATCTAGTTCATTATGCCTCCATTTTTTGTATGATCTTCTCCAATTTGATTAATATCCCGTTGTCTCATTTGCAGATTGGATGTCTATCTCCAAATGCAGAGCTTGCTGAATATGCACAAGCTCCATCTACTCCTGTATTAGTAGAAGAGCCAAACCTGTCCAGTGTTCAGCATGGGCTGGTCTGTGATGATCATTTTGAATCAGAAGATCGCAATTCGGCAGATATACATGGTGCAGAGAGCACAGAACATTTATATAGCAAGTCTGATCTTCATCACAGGGACGGAGCAATTGATTCTTCAGTGATTGGTCGTATTCAATGCCAGGAAACTGAGCAGGATTTCTGCCTGGTTTCTGATTTAACAATTCATGATGCAACTCTTGAAGATGCTGTGTACGCCGCTCCAGTGTCTATGGAGTACACGCAGGAAGACGGAACTACTAGTGGTTTGCAGGATGCGGACAAGGTGGATGAATATAAAGAGAGAGTCGTAGGAGGTGTTGAACCAGTTCCACAGCCAATGGAGTTAATGGACGAGAAATGTGAAAACTCATTTGGGGCCGGATTGCTAGAGACTGGTCCTGTTGATGCTTCTAAAGATGCGGGAGGACAATTGCTTGACAAAATGGTAGCACAAGATACTGCCCGTGTATCTGAGTCTTGTTCAGCTCCTGAGCATGTTAGTACTGAAATACGTCCATTACAGGGAGAGGCAAATTTAAACAACAATATCGGTGACAGACAGATGAATCCATCTACTAGCATGTTTGGACTCCAGCCATGCAACTCAAATCCAAATGACTCTGTTCTTCCTCCGGACATACAACCACCCTTGGCTGCCCTACCTAAAACGCAAGATGATAATTACTCACATGGGACTTCTACTAATGATCAAGGTCTTTGCTGGGAGCTCTTTGAACTTGGGTTCTTGCGAAGTGATTCTATTATGTTGCTAGTGGTTGTTAACTTGTTCATAACTTTGTTACAACTTGGATGGTTTTAAATTTGTAGGTGAGGAGTGTAATTTAGCTGACAGCGGATTGTTGAACAAGCCTCAGACAGTACAGACTGATTTTGAGGGGGAAGTTTTGGACGGAGGCCACAGGTTGGAAGACAAACTGGACAATGAAAACCAAAAGAATGAGCACTCTGAGAAGGTTGATGACCTACCTGTACCTGAAAAATTGCTTTCTGTACCGGAGAAGGTTCTTGATAGACCTGATGAGTTGATGAATGCGTCAACACCAGTCAGTGAACTCTTAGGAATCAGTAATGGGAATGGCTCTGAGAATAGAGTTTCTGGGAGAAAGCGCAGCTTTACTGAAAGTTCCTTGAATGTGCAAAGTGTAAATTCTGTGGAGTCACTTGGATTATCTAGAACGAAAAGAACCTCGGTCTCAGAGTCCGTTCCTGAAGATGATGATTTGCTCTCTTCTATTTTAGGTATTTGTTTTTGTTTTCTTTTTGGTGACCTCACTTAGCGTACATGGATGACTTGTCATTCGGCATTTTATATCCCCTAATACTTGAAAGATGAAAAGACAATTATTATATGGCATTTGAGTTTACAGTTGTGAGAATCAAGCTGTTTTTGTTTGTTCTGGCAGTTGGGAGAAAATCTTCAGTTCTGCGGCTGAAACCTACTCCACCTGCTTCGGAGATGCCAACTGCGAAACGTTCTCGTCCCACTTCCCGTCTTGGTGCCTTCAAGAGGAAAGTGGTCATGGATGAGATGATGGTTCTGCACGGGGAGTATGTCATATTCTCATCTTCTGCGCAATTTTTGTTTGTTTGATCTATGTGCTCTGTTGTTCTACTTGATTGGAATTCCTGGAAACTTAAACATGTAGTCGCATAGGCATAACATGCTACATCTTTTTAATCATCTGCAATGGTTCTATGATTTCTACGCTTATTACTGGAGTGTTTAACTTGTTGATTGATGTTTAAGGTGTGCAGATTATACTCTGTGGGATACTAAGTACTTCTTACTGCTAGTTTGATGGTCTATTCAGTTGACCCTTCATTGATAAAATTTGGAATATACTACTTTTCTGTCTTTCCTGCAGTTACAGCTACTAATTTTATCTTTTCTTTTTAGTACAATACGTCAACAATTGACTAATACTGAGGACATACGTCGTTTACGGAAGAAGGCTCCCTGCACACAGATGGAGATAGTGACGATGCAAAGGCAATTTTTGGAAGATGAAGTTTTGACTGCACCAACCTTATCTGGTAAGTGCACTGAGTTCAGATCAGACTTGCATTTATACAGATAATGCTTTTTTACTTTCTTCCATGACACAAACCTGCCTTCATACATATACAACCCGCACACAATTTTGTTTTACAGGTATGGTAGCACAATTGATGCATTTGCACAATGAAACCCTTGATTTGAGTGGAATAAGGGTTGTAAAAAATGAGGTGTCTTCAGATACTGCTGTGGATGTAGAATGTTCCGCAACGCTTGTTGACCAACGTGGTGAATTGGACAAGATCAGTGAACCTGTAGATTGTAGAGAAATTGATGGTGAACAACCAGTAGAGCCTCCTGTCCTGGACAAGCAAGATGAGAACCAACTTTTTAGTGCTTGTGGTAATGTGGGGCAGAAAGATGATATTGGCATTGTTGTTGATCTTGGAACAACAAGCAATGATTTTTTCGAGGGAAAGCTAGATACAGGGGCTAATAAGGAGAATGCTGAAGAAACTGATGCACCAGATGGATTTGAGACATCCCACATGGAGCATGCTCCCCTAGATATTTCAGGGAAGCCTGTCATGCTTTCTACCGAGACTTCTTTTTTGGGCAAAATTTCTCATGAGGATGCTTTGAAGGAGACAAATGCTATAAACGAGCTGTCTGATGAGATATATACTGTGCCAGCTGAGGAGGAAACACGTTTGAAGGAAATGAATGATGGCGAACTACCAGATGGAGTTGACATGGTTGGCCATCATGGGGATGGTCTAGTTGCTACCAGAAGTGAATTTATCCTGGAGGAGGAACTTCTAATGCATGAATGCAAAGATGACCCTGCTATTCAAATCACAGGTGACCAAGCCGATAGTAACGCACCTTGTGTCAAACCAACTACGTTTGACACGATTGGATGTGTTGGCATTGCCTTAGTAAATGAGCAGGCCCTGGAACATGCTGATGATGGAAATGTTAGGCTTGGTAGCGAGGATGGATGTGATGTAATGGGCTTGGAGCGCAAAGTTGAGGATAAGTCTTGTAGTCATAGTGAAGAATTGAAAATGGCCTCCCCACATTCTGCAGGATGTGATGATGATGTTAAGAACAGTGGTTTTAATGATGGTAATAATGTAGTTTCTCAAGATGCCAATTGCCAAACTACCACAAATGCAGAAGTAATTGTTCTTGATTGTCTTGCCACTGAAGATCAATGTGTAAGTTGAATCTCTCCACTTTACTTATGCTGTTAAATGTTCTCTTTTGGTTTAGTTACCAGACGTTAGATTATATGGCTGTCTTTGCTTGTTCCACTGACTAAGTTGTACCACCTGTAACATCCTATTTTCAGGTAAAATCGATCTTTTCGATTAATATTTGTAGTCAAAATTTATTTGTTGTTTCTGTCTCATATTTGGTTTGGTTGTTTTGCTGGTGGCCATGTTGCATCTGTTGGCATCCAACTGTTAGGCCATATGATTGCAACAGGCGATGGATGAATAGTGGGCCTATTAATTCAAAGCCTGCATCTTGATATATGCTCGAATTCTAAGCAGTGGGTCTAGGATGTTCAAACCCTGCTTCTTGAGATATGTTCGAACTTCTTTTCTGCACATTTTCTGGTGATGGTTGATATGCATTTAGGGTAAAGGAAACCAAAGTATCCTCAGCTCAAGACAGTCTGTTAGGATAATAGTTATGGGTTTCATTGTTTTGGAGCATTGCAAGCATTATGTATGGACAGAGCCAGCAGTTCTAAGTTTAAGCAAATAAGAAGGAAAACAGACTAACAAATGCATAGCATCTATATATTAAAACAATTTGGTTCGTTCTTTCTTCCTGCGAATCTATCAGCATCTGACAATGAGCATGTGATATAAGTTGGTTTTATATGCTGATCTTCCATGGCGAGGAATCTCCTGCATTTTCATGTCAGGCTTGCTATAAGCCGCGACGGACTATCTTGTAGTGATAGTATATTGATGGATAGATAATGCAGCCAAGTGCTTTGTGCATACTCTTTAGTTGTTTTTTCACATACTGATAATATCACAGAAACTTAAAAAATTAAATATTGTGCTCTAAATATGCACTTTTGTTTCTATTGACAGGAATTTCCAGACATCACATTCACCAATGACACAGGTTTGGTTTCCTTTGTCACCACCATTATACTCTTCTGTGTTTGCTTAGTCCACCGCTCTCCTAGCTATAAGTTGAATATTTGATGTTAAGCCTCTAGAAGATTATAAGTTTGCTTAATAAAAAAATTGTAATATCGCTGAAAATCACCTAAGTGATGAGTTGAATGTGACTCCAGCTACACAAAGCCTAAGCGGCCTCTTATTTTTAGTATGCTAATGACATTGTCAGAACTGTCTCGAACTTCCTCATCTAGGAACTTTCCTAGCTGTTTGGTCTGTCAAAATGTTTTGATTGTGGCTTGCTTTGTCTCTCTCTCTCCCCAATATGGTTTATGGACCATTGTGCTTCTGACACTTTTCTATTTCCAGAATTTTTGAATGTTGACGACGATGAGATTGGAGAAGACGACAATGACATGCCTTCTGTTGAAGATACTCGTCTTTTAGACAATAGTGGATGGTCTTCCCGGACAAGGTGAGTGCGAATATTATGGACATGGTTATGGGTTTTCCCATCTGTATATATCCAACAGATAACTGTGAACTTTGGTGCACCTGATAATGTTAATTGCATCTCCTGTAGAGCTGTTGCCAAGTACCTCCAAACTTTATTCGACGAAGAAGCAGGTCAAGGCCGCAACGTTGTGTCGATGGAGAACCTGCTAGCTGGTAAAACACGCAAGGAGGCCTCAAGGATGTTTTTTGAGACATTGGTAGGGTTGGCTGGCCGTTGTTACATCGTCTTCCTGGGATTGATTGCCTTTGGATTTTGGTTTAGTCGGTTTATGGACTTGCCTTAATATTGTGTCCTTGCAGGTGCTTAAGACGAGGGACTACATCCATGTTGAGCAAGGGAAACCATTTGAGCACATTAACATAAAGCCGAGAGTAAAGCTAATGAAGTCGGACTTCTAATAACTTGTGGCGATGTATTTCATCATTTCCCATTAGTTTTTTTTCTTGCGTCACTGTGATTGTAGTTCTGTCAATTTAACAGCCGACAGGTCGGGTAGATGGTGTAGGTTTCCAGATAAGATTTGATTGTAATCTCTTCGTTGTATGTATTTAGTATCTTATTTATGTAAATACGTACGGAAAAGAAGGTGAATACTTAATATCTTACTGTTCTAGTCCTAGATAGTTAATACTTCGTTTAATATACTTATCGTATGTATTTTATCTGATTGAAATTTCGTTTTTGTATTATTGCCAAGCCGTTTCATTTACTTATGTATGATCGTATGTATTTTATTCGATTGAAATTTCGGTTTTTGTATTATTGCCAAGTTGTTTCATTTATTTGCTTTTATTTTTTCTTGGCTTGTGAACAAGTATAAAATCTGTATGTCATGCTTCATACCTATGTTTAATGAATTAATCGATAATTTTAACAATATTTACATATTTATTTATTTCTAAAGAAATTAATGTAATATATTTGTATTATTAACATACTATTAAACATACCATTTGTTCTACTAAAAATTTCATACTTATTTATATGTAAATATTTGTTATATGTAAATATTTGTATTTTTCCCTATTCTAATTTCTCACATGCCCATGGGATGGTTGTTTCTTCATTCTTTCTAATGAATTATATAGGATGAATTGCAAGTTTGGTCACTGGGATTATTAAAATATTTCATGTTTGCCAGTAAAAATATTTTACTCCATTCGTATTTACTAGGATTAGTTAAATATTCTAAGTTTGGTCATCTCCGTTAGTCTCTTTCTCAGCTTTATTAACACTGTGATCAGTATTTTGCTAACGTAGTTAACAAAAATGACGAGTCACTTAATTTAACAAGAATAAAATAAAATCTGACCCGCCACATAAGAAAATAAGCCACGTCAGACCGACCCAACCAAACCATTAACTCGACCCCATTTCTTGACCCTTCCTCTCCTAGAGTTCCCCTTTGTCGTCTTTCTTCGTCATACGCCAAGGAGTCCCCCCATGTCGAGCATCGATTTCTTTGAATTGGAGAGGGATTTGGGGACGAAACCAGAGGCAACAGAGAAAGTGAAGAGGCAGCCGGTGAGCAGAAGATGGCAAATAAGAGTTACCCACTAGAGTCTTGCACGAATCTTCCAACTCCCTCAACACTCGGATTAATTCCCAAAATACAGTAATAATTAAAAAAAATTCCCAGAATACCAAACTTTTAAAAAAAATTCCCAAACTACCAAAGTTTGACATAGTTCGAGTTTACAAAACTCGAACCAGTAGTGGATCGATTGTCAAAAACTCGATCCAGGTGTATCGAGGGTGGGACACTCGAACCACATGAAGTGGATCGATGAGCTGGGTAGCGCTCCACCATAGATCGATTTACTAGGACGCGATCAGGGTCGTTCGATTGTTCAACCATCGAAGCAGTGATGACGCGGATCGAGTGCGGTAAACTCGAGGTATGTGGATCGAGTCTGCTATAATCGATCCAGTTGACGCGGATCGATGACGTCAGGCCCGCCCAACCGTTGATCGAGTGTTCTAAACTCGATCTAGGCCGTTCGATTGTCAAACCCGCGAAGCAGGGATGACGCGGATCGAATGCTTCAAACTCGATGACGCGGATCGAGTGTCTAAAACTCGATGCAGTGGATCGCTGATGTCAGCATCGATCAACCGTTGATCGATTACCCTAAGCTCGATCTGGTTCGTTCTTTTTGACGCGGATCGAGTGCATAAAAATCGATGCACTTGTTCGAGTTTTGTAAACTCGATCCACTCTCCCACAGAACCTATAAATACCCCCTCATATTCCACCAAAACTCACACCACTCCATTCTTCTTCCTCTCTTCCTCCCACCACTCTTGAAGAAAAAAATATGCTCTGTGGTTGCGGCTAAGCCCGATCTTCCGCATCAGATTTTTTTTCTTTAGTTTGGTACTTCTATCACTCAAAATTGTCGAGATGGATCCGAGTATTTACGATCCTAGATTATACATTCAAGGTGGACCGCGAGAAACCGATTTGTTGGATGAGCAACCTTACCATCGGTCTGAAAGTGTTTGGGCGGCAGATCCGGTAGGCACTTCCTCATGTACTTTTTTTTAATGTGATAGTATTCTTCTAATTTTTTTGTATAATAATTAATGTTTTTTTTTCTACAGGAACAACTTGACGTAATCACCCATCGGTCGCTATCTCGCTTGCCTAAATGGGATGATCGTATCGAGCCCTTCATATCTAGAGCGCGATTGCTGAGGGTGCGAAAGTTTGTGGGGATGGAGATGGACAACAACCTTCTTACGGCAATGGTGGAAAGATGGAGAAAAGAAACGCACACATTCCACCTTCTAGAGGGAGAGATGACGATTACGTTGAAGGACGTAGCCATGCTGACAGAGCTTCCAATCGATGGTGATGCAATAATAGAAAGTTCTTCAAAACCATTGAATGGTTGGGGCCAATATATAAGCGAGCGTTTAGGTATCATCATCCCAGAGGAAGCAGAAGAAGGTCGTCGTGTACCACCTCTACACAAGTCTATGCTATTGATACCTTGGCTAGTGAGGACCGTTGGGGAATTACCGGAGGATGCCACGGATGCTCAGATAGAGAGGTATGCTCGCATCTACCTTATTTGTTTGGTTGGAGGATTTTTGTTTCCGAACAAGTCTGGTGGAAATATGCATTGTATGTGGCTTCGAGTTCTTTTGGAAGATTGGGATGAGATTGGGAGAAAAAGTTGGGGATCTGCTTGTTTGGCGAGGATATATTCGGAGTTGTGCAAATTCCCCCTCATCAACTTCCAGATCTTCACCATCTGAACTACTCATAGATTCTAACTCTTCATCTTCCATGTCGCTTGCCTCGCTAGTGTACGGAGGACTTGGTTTATCCACATATGGATCATTGTTGATGCCAGATGCTGGTGTAGATGCTTGTCTGGGTGCCCTTATGTAATCCCATTCTTCACCCCATACTGGCCACTCCTGTCCGTCATGTTCCACCAATGGACCAGTTGCAGTTCGATCCTCGTATGTTGGCCATGGTGCATCATGCCGCACTCTGAAATCTCCTGAACTGGAAAACCCTCCAGATCCTTCACCGTGTTCGGTATAACCGCCGCCACCATATTGGCCAAAAACTTCTGTTTCGACATACACCTCAGCACTTGGAAATCTGTTCTCTGCAATAAATCTCACCATCATATTAATGTCATCATCGTCAGACAAAACTGATCCTTCATATACAAGTGCATAATCCTTGTAAACCGGCATACGGTAAGTCATCTTGCATACTCTTCGCCCTGCTATGCAACATCGTTCAGCACAAATATGACTGAGTTCTTGCCAAGTAAATATGCTCTCAATCCGGACAATACTTGATTCACCATCTTCGTAGTCAATACTATCATGAAAGTGTGTAATTCGACCATTCCACCGAATCTTTAAGTCAAATTTTCGAAATTTTCTACCCATTTCTGCAGTTTATACAAGCAGCTCATTACATACAGTACAAACAATACTAAATTAATCTAAAATTCTAATATGCTCATTCAAACAAAGTAAGCAGAACTTACCTCCAAATTTTATCTTCTTTGCTCAGCTATGGTGCTCCAGCAGCTGCAGTTTGTGTTTGGAAGAAAGAAGATAGAAAGGAAGAGTGCTGCCAGAAAGTGCTTTTATTTATCGTAAACTGATGGAGTGGGTCGAGTCCAGTACACTCGAACTACACTAGTTCGAGTTTATTAAACTCGATCTACGTCGACCAATAATTTCCCCCCCTGCGCCCTATTCTGTGGCATGTCGGATAGAAAGCGACTGGACAGAATGATTGAGCAAGTAGTTCGAGTTTAGTGTAATCGAACTACACTAGTTCGAGTTTCTAAAACTCGATCTGCTACAACAAAAATCTTATCCCTGTAACCCTATCATGGAGCATGTCGGTGGGCAGTAGTTCGAGTCTTATGGCCTCGATCTAGTCCAGACAAAGATCGAGTGAGTTAAAGTCGATGCCCTACATCGAAGATTTTGAAGTCGATCTAACTTGATCGAGTGTTTCATACTCGATCTACTTAGATCGAGTCTCCTCTAATCGATCATGGTTGTTCGAGTCTTCTAAAGTCGAACCACTGTTGATCGAGTGTTTAAAAGTCGATCCACTTTTGGTTCGAGTTTCTTATCGTCGATCTTGTTTGTAGTTCGAGTCCCATAAACTCGAACCCCTTGAAACTTGGGTAATTTGGGAAAATTTTATAAAACTTATGTATTCAGGGAATTATGTATAATTTTGGCTGTATTCTGGGAATTCTTCCCTCAACACTCCCACCACCACTCCCACCGCCAACCTCCCCATTAAAAGAAGTATGGATCTAGGCGTGTCCATCTAGGGTTCGTATGAAGGAGATCAATCGGATGATTGGGAATTTAGGGAAAAGAATAGGAAAAATGGGAGTGAAGTGGGGAAGATTGAAGAGGAAGGAAGAACTCGGTCTCCCAAGGAGGTAGGGGGCCGACGACAAGGTGAGGAAGAGAGAAAGAGATTTCGGCTAGAGAGAGAAGGAAAGAAGCAGTAGGTCTAGGAGATATTGTTATGTTATTTCTTAATGAATAAAATCTTGTATTATCCAATGTTAAATATTAGCTAGTGACTAAAATAAAAAACACATTGACATCTAAAGTTCAAAAGTCAACATAACATCAACAATTTCAAGTCTACAACCCAACATAACATAAGATTAAGAATAAACAACATTCATAGTTCAATACTAATAAGTTCAACAAAACTACAAAGTGCAAATTCAAACACCAATCTCTCTTTGTCCTTCACACATTCGAAGTCGAGGCAACGTCATCACTTACTCCAATCTCTTTGCTCATACTAGAATCTTGAGATACTCCGCTCTCAAGTTGTGCTCAACCATAAGGACATTGTAAACTAAACAAAGGAAGAAAAAAA